CGGAAGGCACAAAGTGGGCACTGGATGACATTCTGTAATGCGTTGAATCAAAACACGCAAACAGGTGCCGTCTGGAAGAAGCTAAACGCCATGAACGGGAAGCGCAGATCATTCAACATACCAAACCTAAAGAATGGAGATGAGTACGCTACCAACGGCAATGAAAAGGCAGATCTACTTGCAAAAGCCTTCGCTGACGCAAGCAGGGACGAAAACCAATCACCAGAGTTCCTGAAGAGAAAGGAAATCTTTTACTCACAGCACCCTTCATTAGAAATTGAACCTAATGAAGGGGCTAAACCAATCAATCTACCCTTCTCTGAGGAGGAGTTAAATAAGGCTCTTTCCCTCAAGAAGGATAGTGCGGCTGGCGAGGACAAAGTAAAATACTCAATGCTCAAACATCTGCCTAGAAATGCCAAAAGGATACTACTAAACTTCTTCAACACATCCTGGCTGGCAGGAGAGGTACCTAAAGAATGGCGGAAAGCCAACGTCATCCCTCTTCCAAAACCAGGTAAAGAGAAAACAAAGGCAGAGTCCTATCGACCAGTAAGTTTGACATCCACACTGTGCAAAACCTTGGAAACAATGGTTAACATACGACTACAGTTCTATCTGGAAAGCAACCGACTGATCGACGAAAATCAAAGCGGGTTCAGGAAAGGGCGTTCAACAATGGACCACTTGGTAAGACTGCAGCAAGTCATGTCGCAGGCACTCCTCTCTGGGAACCTGTTATGTGTCGTGTTCGTAGATTTAACTAAGGCTTTCGATTTAGTCTGGCTAGACGGGCTGCTATTCAAGTTAGGACGTATTGGTATAACGGGCATAATGTTTCGGTGGATCAAAAGCTTTCTGAGCGATAGAAGGATACAGGTGAATGTTGGCAGATTCCTGAGTGCCGAGCAAACATTAGAAAATGGCACGCCTCAGGGGTCGGTTATCAGTCCCACTCTCTTCAATATCATGATCAACGACATACAGAAATCTTCCTACCTCGACGCCAAAACTGAGTTAGCTAAATTTGCTGATGACAGTACCATATGGAGGAAAGGAAGGAACTTCTGTGAACTACAAAAGAACATGCAGAAGGCCTTAGATAAATTCATGGCATGGGCAAACGATTGGGGATTCAAGGTCTCGGAGAAGAAAACAGTCGGCATGCTTGTAAGCAGGGATAGAGGGATAAGCAGAATGACTCTGTCTATGAACGGGAAAACCATCGAGTTTAAAGACCAAACCAAGTTCCTTGGCGTAATCTTAGACCGAAGGCTGACCTGGAAACCGCACATCGACGAGACTGTAGATAGATGCACCAAAATCCTAAACTTAATGAGAAAAATAACGGGCAGTACTTGGGGGTCCAACAGAGTAACACTAATGATGGTGTATCGTGCTCTAATACGATCTGTATTAGACTACGGCTCTCTGGCCTTCATGAACTGCGCGCCATTACTCTTAAGGAAGCTTGACACCATCCAATACAAAGCTCTGTGTATTGCGACTGGCGTAGGGCAAGGGACTGGGAGAGAGGCACTACTGCAGGAAGTCGGGGAGTTGCCCCTATCCCTGAGAAGAAAAGAACTAGCGACAAGGTACTGGGCTAAGATCTCGCAACTGGGCGAAAGATCCCCAACCTTTGTCAGTCTACAAAAAACAAGATATGTGAGAGATCCTAGAAAGAAAAGCTTCGGCCAGGGTATCAGGGAAACAATCAAGGAACTGCGACTGGGGGAGCTCGTGATAAATGAACACGACCCCCCAGCGATCGCCCCTTGGACGCTCCCTATACCGCCGGTTAATCTAGATCTACTACAGAAAACCGACAAGAAAAACAACCCCACTGCAGCACGTGCTTTTTCTCTAGAACACCTGGAAGACAACTGGCCGTCTGATGACTGGGAACATGTGTACACGGATGGCTCACGCAATCCTGAAAGGGGCACCAGCTCGTTTGGAATATACCTGCCAAACGGGGAACAGGGAATAAGCAGGAAACTGCCCAATAACTGTTCGGTGTACACTGCAGAACTTGTGGCCATTCGTGACGCTATATCATGGATTTCCCATCAAAAGACTAGTAAGTTCGTCATTCCAAGCGACTCTCTGAGCAGTCTGATTTCAATCCAAAATGACAACTCGGACTCAAGACCAGAAGTCATTTTGGAAATCAGGCAGCTGTACCAGAGGGTTTTAGAGAAGGGAAGCAAATTAGAACTCGTGTGGATTCCATCACATGTCAACATTAGAGGAAACGAGCAGGCAGATCGACTAGCCAATGAAGGTCTCAAGGACACAGCACCACTCCGCACCATAGACTACAGCACCACGGAAATCTACAGTATGGTCAAAAGACAGGTCAATTCAATCTGGGAATTAAATCTCGTTGAACTTGACACATACAGATTCCGGCTGGATGACAAGATCTATACAAAGACAACACTCAATCACCCTAGAAGAGATATATGTAGACTTATATCGAAGCTAAGGGTGAAAGAGCGGCTGCGAGACTACAAACACCAAGTCATCATCTGTGAATGCGGAGAAGAATGTACCACCAACCATGTCCTGGTAGACTGCGAGGTATACAAGGAGGAGAGAATGGACCTAGTGAGAACAATGGAGACTAACAACATACCATTCAACACTAAGAATCTACTCTTCCCGCGACCAGATTTGAAACTGCAAATCTTCGAACAAATCCACGCCCTAATGGACACAGTTGGACTAAGTAGAATAGTGAAGTAAGAGGGGGTCACGGCTAGACGGGCTCGGCATCTAAACACTAAACTACATAGGGGATTTATACCACACTGGCAGGATAGTGGAGTAAGGGGGAGTCACGACCAGACGGACTCGGCATCTAAACACTATTCCGCCAAAAACAGACACCAAACCTACAGAGTGGGATAGTGGAGTAAGGGGAGGTCACGATAAGACGGGCCTGGCACCTAAACACAAACCCCTCAAAGATGACATCTACCAAACTAGCAGGATAGTGGAGTAAGGGGGAGTTACGATCAGACGAACTCGGCACCTAAACACTATTCTGCAAATAAAAACTAACACCAAGCCCAAAGAGTGGGATCGTGGAGTAAGGGGAGGCCACGACAAGACGGGCCTGGCACCTAAACACTAACCCCAAACGATGACATCTACCAATCCAGAAGCAGACGAAATCATCCATCAAACGATATGTTTTATATTAAATAAAGGGAAGAACTTCCCACTAAACCAAATCCATGGCCTAATGCCAAATGGAAAGATTGCAAAATCATATTCTAAAAACAGGAATCAGCTAAATTCGGCTCTCCTATGTCTTGTCTGCGATATCACTTATGTGGAAGCAGACGTTAAACACCAAGAACTACTACTACTACTACTGTACCAATCCACTCAATAATCCTGTCTTTCAAAATATAAATGACCCCCCAAAAACGTAATTAGTAGTATAAGTAATAATGTCTTCTGTACTATATCACAGGGTATATTTTGTTCACTCTGGTTAAATTATAAACAATACAGCCATCATCAGTATGCACTATTCAGCTAGTCAGGTTTATATATTATAGTATATCATATTGCAGATGTGTATTATCAATGTATTTGAAGTAAGTGTACTCTCTGGATATACAACCTACATGTAAATGTGTATTTAATTAAGCAATTAGTTTATACATTTTTTGTTAGTATATATTTATACATTATATGGTAATTTTAATGAAAACTTAACTGTTAGGTGTGCTGGTATTATAAAGAAAATTTACTACGCTGTATTGTGTGCTGGTTGTATTACATGTAAAAACATAAAATAGCTTTCAGATCAACCCTAACCCATAGGCGTACCAGCTGGGGGCCCCCCATTTTGGGCACCAAATGCTGGGAAAATTTGGGCACACAATTGTACTTTGTAAAAGTTGTATAAAAAAATATTGCGTTCTTGAATGTGTCCAATTTAACAGCGAATTTATTATTATTATGTAACATACTAAGAACCTAACTACATTTTTTGGGCACCAACCACCACCGCCCCCCCGCCAAAAATTTCCCCGTACGCCTATGCCCTTACCCATAATGTTCATTTATAACATGCATTTCATCAATGAATCCAGGTGTGCGTTCTTCTTTTCATTGTTTTCTATTTTGAAGGCAATTCATATTAATCATTCCTCAGTTGGGCTAATTAATTTGTAGGCCTATATTTATCTTTTCAGTGTTATTCGTTTGATGTGTAAAGTGTATAATAAGATGTCTTCATCAAGCCATATACATGTACTCATTTAGAACTGATAGAGTCCTAATTGGTAAAATAACGAAGTAGAACCCTTAGTTCTTTTCACTTACAATAATGTACATAAACCCACACAGTGTATTTACTATAAGGCTAATTGGACACATGAGAGTTTATATACTGTGATGATTAAGTGAACCATGTGCTCTATTAGATACACTATTCCATTTAAGAATACCATCATTTAATAAACAGGTACGCAACATGAGAAGTTCCTATGATGTTTTTGTATCTCCTTTTTATTTCTTTCACACTTTCTTATATTTAGAGAGGTCTTGGCACATATTTAAAGAGGTTGTGCTTTGAGATGCTAGACTATTGCAAGAATATAGAGTAAAATGTTTTGATCTCATCACTTGCGTAATATTTTAAGACTCATTTTGTTGATCAAGATGAATACAATCACAACTTTACACATGATGACACTCAACTAACAGCAAGATGATAAACATCAAATATCAGTTATTATACTACTATTAGAGAGTTGGAAATAGTGGACAGGCAATCACCAACCATAACATTCATTGTTACCTACATGTATGTATGACAAATTCTAAATATTCTATGAAATGCTTTATCTTTTCTATCTCCCATAAAAAAATAAGAGATGTCTACATGTATGAATTAAACAGATGTAATCATAAAATCTGAATATATAAAATTCTATTCATTTCATACACCACTTTTAAGTGTGTGTTATACTTACAAGAAAACAGTATCCAATGGAAAGTTGATGTGACTTAGGGATTTGAATGGGGCTGCTGGTTTCGAGCAATCCACCTTTCGTCCCTTTTTCTGTTTCCCTTTTGAGCCAAGCATCGTACAAATACAGTTTGGCACACATGATTCTGATATTTCGAACAGGATCGCTAGGACAATGGAAGTTAGAATAAAACGATAGGGCAACATGATGCCTTAGTTTTTACATTTCTTTTACTGCTACTCCATGGCCTTTTCAACTTCACAGATTTATAAATAAATAAAATATCCTGGCACATTTCTTCAAGATCATAATTCTACTGACATTGGCAAAAATTGGACCAATGTGAATCTGGTGTTGGTCTATGTATGTCCTCAGTGCTCAATCCCAATTAATCGTTGATTTTAACACAATTTTTGTCATATGCTTCTCGACAAACACTTAAGTAATATATCATAAAACAAATACTTTCATTTACATCAGTGTAGGATATAATGTTGTAAACATAAACACCGGTCTCAAAAAATAACAATTGAATGAGGTTTGTCAAGTTTGTGTCAGAAATGCCAAAGAAATGAACTCAGAAATCGCCTAAACACAACTTGTTCAGTTCAGTTCTTTCCTGGATATAAATTTCATACTCCAAATTTTTAAAAATAAATCATAAACACAAATGCACTTGAGACGACTCTAAAATTCGGCGTGAATGTTTCCACTTCAAGTGCTAATTCGAGCTGATAGCGTACCATACACACAGTGAAGCCAGACTCACTGACAAATTTTGCAGAAGTTCCTTTTTTTCTATCGCTTTGTAGTCGATTTCCCGTGCTATATCTCCACAAAAGCACGTTGTTCTTCACATAAAACTAGCACTACTAATTCATTCAAATAGTTTAACGTAAGTATTCTTCGCTTGGTCAATCGTGTGTATCCGATAACAGTCTCAAATCAACCACATTACCGTAAGGGATGTTTCAATTTTTCTTTGCGAGAGCCATCTTGATTTTCTTCCTAACCTCGTGACGTCATGGGGTCAATCTGGGCTAAGATCAATGCGATTGGTCAGTTGTGGCCATAGACAAACAATGCAGCCTTGGTGGCCAGGAAAGGCGATGGAGGATTTGGTTGAAGGCCTTCTATATTCGCTGACCCTAACTTGACAAATCTAGACTGCAAATTCCTTTTCACACATTTCTATTGACATAAAGCTTACAAAGGCAAACTTGTAAAGGTTGTATCCCAGTCACTGTGATTGGCAATAGTTATTCAAGAGTTACCGACCTCACAGAAAGCGATTTAAACATAACCGCCATTTAAAATGTTTTTATATCCCTAAACAAAATATTATTCTTAGATTCATTGACAAACTATTTTTTTCGTTGTAGTAAAGGAATTTTCTTTACATATTGAATTACTGCTGTACATATAAAAAGGCACGCAGCGTTATTTTGTCTTTAAAAATCGAATTTATTTCCATTTGTGAATAATGGAATTTCATATGAATATAATAATTATAAACAAATAAATTATTTATACCATCTTTCTTGTTTGTATTTTACTTTGTTAGTTTTGTTACATGCAGTAAGGAGTTACTTAATAGTTGAACATTTTTAAAGCCCCCTTTTAATTTTATGTATGTGATTTTTTTTTTTTTTTTTGGTTTTCCCCATTAGTTTGAGTGCGTCTTCTCCCCTTTAATCCTCCATTAATTTTAGTGCATCCCCCCTCATTTTAAAGCTATGAATTTGAATCAGTATTTGGTAGAAGAAAATTGCCTATTTGGAAATATTTAAGTCCGATTAATCCCCAAAACATATTCTGGAGACGATCTTTTCATCCGTACAACTACAACTGTAAAACTAAAAGGAGCGGCACAATACATTATCTCACTCCGACATCATGATAATAGGTTTTAATGCAATCCGTTTTACAGTCTTTTATTATTACTTTAATTAAGTTTAATTAACAATTATGACTCTTCACAAAGTTTAAGACATTCCGCCTAGAAATTTATTTTAGCCTATATAAACACGAATTTTGCATTTGATCCGTAAAGAGACAAATTATCATTGTCATCGAGAAAATAAATGTAAACGAGACGTCTACTTATTTTCTGTGCAAAATTCTATTCAAACACTTGTAGATCGAAAAGTATTTTGTAGTTGCCGAACTAATTTCTCGTTAAAGTGTGTGTGAATCGGGTGAACTGAGAAATTTTTTTAATATATAGGCGTTAAAAGGCTGCATGTCTGACCAACTAACGGCATTTCCTTGACTATATTCAACTATATTTGTGTGCTCTAGTCTTGCATACACTCAAATTTCGTACTCAGGCAGGTTTTGCTTGAACCATGGGAGGTGACGAAAATTAATCCCCTACTACCTCTCATGAACGAACTGTCCCTTTAAGTTCACGGAAAGGGTCGTACCATCTCAAAGCCAATTTACCGTTATAAAACCATTGGTAATATCCCGCCTGTTCCTAATGTTGTCAATTAGTGGGATAAAGCGGAACTTATTGTAATTTCGGCTACATCCCTGGTAGATCAGTTAGAATAACAGTTATAATCAAAGGTGACGTGTCCCACACTTCAAAGGGAGTCGCTAATGGAGCGGTCGTTTTGTCGAATAAAGTTGAAAAGTGAAAGAAAATATTGACGTTTTATCTGTTTTTCATGTGTCTTTATTCCCTCGGTTGTATCACGGGAATATTGCACTTTCTGTCCCCAAAGGTTCTCTGTTTCATTGTTTGTTTTGAACAAGCAGGGTCAGATTAAATACCTTTAGATGCCCTAAGCACCGTAAAGATTATGCTGCCCCCATAAATTCTACATGAAAACGACACTGAATCATAAAATATAGTTTTACCTTTCTAAATGAAACCTGCATGTGTGTTCAAATAGCTATTTTCTATATAAATCCGATCGCAATATCCTCGTTAATTACTTTACACCGTTAACGTATGAAATTAAAAAAAAAACAAAAAACATACGGACCGGCTAATATTGGGCTACCACCAACAGAAATATTTGTTCCAGTTACGCATAAAATTTATTTGCAGTATAAATTCCCATATAGTTTTTGAACGAAGGTTATTGTGTGCTCTGCTACATGACTTATGAATGTTTCTTGTACGTGGTTAATAGGATTCCTTATAAAATGTTCCGAATAAACAGGAAAAGCTGTAGCTAGAAAAGGAAATGAAATTTTCTGGTTGATTGCTAATTGTCAGCATCATAACGATGTTTTATAAAAGGATTGAACAGAAAGAATTCTGGTTATCTCATTTGGCCGATCTTAATTATTTGTTTGAATACTTTTTTTAAAGAAAAAAAATGTCAAAATCATCGTAAAAATTATTTGCCATTTGATCTCTTATGCCTGCCCAATCAAGTGAATATAACCTCTGAAATTCCGTACCTAGGCCTACTCATCAAATAATATACGATACATTTTTGTCCATTGATTTCATGTCTGCAGGGATTGGAACCCTTGTTGTCGATCTTGTATTGTGCATGATTTGTGAAGAAAATTTGATTTATTTCTTCCATCATTCGTGAAGAAAACAAACCCCACTATTTTCACCGGAAATTCGACAATTATGACATAGTGGCACCATTACAAGAACATCAGATATATAAGCTGTATGTTCGGAAGACCATTTCATCATGTTATGATGTTTTACGACGCATTGCACAAAGATGAAAGAGGCCGCCCCCAAATGTAATTATCAACGTATGTAAGTTGTGACAGCCGTCTTAATCACACTTGATTAACACCGTCTCGTGGATTTGAGCTTGTCCATAAAGATTTCCACAAATTTGCTGTGGTATAGACATATTCACATGGGGACTACAATGGTGGATATTCAGAATAGATGATCGTGTCTTGAGAGACACGGGGCATTTCATGCTAAATTAATAAAAGATAGATCAGAAATTTTTTATAGCAAAAAAATTACAATACCAGTAAACTTTTTTCGAAATATAATATAGCACACAATACTTTCATACAAAAAATTAAAGTGATTATTTTGTTCAAAAACTGCATTGCAAAAATGGGTGAGAAAATCTACAATTTGGATGTTTCATAAAAAATATCTAAAGTCGGATCTATATTATATTATGTACTGGTATTCATATCTTTAAACATTCATCACCAAGAAATGGAATTATAATATTTCATCTAGTAGGCAATAAAGCCTAACAACTCTACAAAACACAAAATAAGACATACATGAATATAGAAAATAAACCACTTAAATATCAAATTTTTTTTTGAAGAACATTTAATGCAAGGGTCGGCCTAGATGGCAAAAACACTAGTTAGTTTTTTTGTCAATTATTACCTTGAAGATGGGCTAAACTAATTAATGTGAAAAATGTTATAGGAATGATCTACTATTTGTGCATTAATCATCATACCACAACTATTGATAATATTAACTTATTAAAAGTTGATAATAATTGATTAACTAATGATACAAACTGATACAACAACTTACTAGTAATTAAATTCTATGGAATTGAGTCCTGTATATATCTACTGAATTCAGGGAACCAAGTCCTGACAAGCCATTTTCCTACAATCACAAATATTCCCTCACAAAAGGCTAAATTACCTTGACTTATAGGCTAATCTGCACAAGGGGTATGGATGACAAGTTAGTTAATAATGTAAATACAAGTTCCTTATCTTTTTAACAATCAGGGTCAGTATGCACCCATATTCTTATGTGCACTATCTGTACTCCAATAAACATGTTACACACATAAACCACACCCTGTGATATACAATATTTAAAGGTGTAAATTAACAAATCTAATATACATCCCACAGTGTAGTGGAATACAAATATTTTACCTACAACTCACAGAGAATAAAAATATAATAGTACACAGTATAATCAGTATGTGATGACTTAAATATTCTTGGACATCTATAAGCTTAGTCAAGGTATTCCTCTTAGTCTTACCTCATATAGAACTAGTAATAAGCATAAAAATTTAATGACATTCACACCATTCAGAAATATATAACAACAATTATAACAAATTAATAAAAATATAATATTAAAAAATTACAATGACATGGGTAATTATAGGGGTAAATGAATCCCTAGACTGAGGTATTGGGACAAAAGGTGTCAACTTTATATTGATTAATGCGTAGAAATTTGTATGGACTATTTTTAAAAATTATGTCAATTATAAATGGTTTATAAAATGAAATGCTAAAGCTTAACCAAAAAATATATTTAATGCCTTGCTTAAAGATACATTATATAAGATCTAGATAAAGAACTAGCCATTCTTGCTATGATAGTTCGAAAGTAGATGATGTAAAATGAATAATTTGAAAATTTCATTCAAATTACTCTATTGCAAGCGAAGATATTAGCCTTTGAAGGTTTGACAGACGTGTGCAATAATTTCAACCACCGTACTGGTTGATCGAAGCTAAGTCTCGGTCCTCCATATTTGATTAAATCAAAGTATCGCTGAATCTATTTAATGTCGGAGAAATCTGATGCCATCGAGAGTTGATTAAGGCCTGGATCAGTTAATTAATGTCTAATTAATACTTTAGAAAACATTCCAGGCCTAAAGAAAGACCTGCAATAGGCAGATTTAGCGCTTGCATAATGCTTGTTTAACCAAACAATATATTTAATCTTATCTACATATTTAATGTATTAAGCACCCAGGAGCTTAAAATATTGTTCAAAAGGAAGATGCTGAATACAGTGAAATCAAACAAAACAAAATCCAAAGGGCTTTTTTTAAATTGCATTTTGCTGCACCCAAATTGCAGGGAGTGATTCAAATATGAATTAACAAAATGATGTGGATATTACTTTCCTATTACATCACACATACAGTAAACTTTACCTTTACAAGGGACCTACCAGAAAAATCAGGCAAACAAATTATTATGAGCAGCATGGGGGAGTTCCATGAGAAACCAGCAGGGGACTGCTTATTTTGTCAAATATCATATATAACAATTTTGAACTTCGTATATATTAAACAGTACATCAAAAAGAACATCAAAATAAAATTAGAAAGAGATACAACACAGTAACACGCACTTTTGGTCAAGAGACAGTGTTAATTTGAATAGTTTATAAATAAGGAACTGGAATATAAAAAGTTCACCACTTCTGAAAATTCACATCATTTACTCCGATCAATCATTTATTCACTTTTCTCATGGGCAACTGGTCTTGGGCTATCATCCTCCACATATTCATTTGGTTCGATCATATCCTCATCATATTCTTCATCATCTTCAGAAGTTGCTCCGTCATCTAAAGTTTCCATGCAGCATAAACTGTAACAAACTATACTTATGATTACAGTGGGTAATCCAAACATGAGCAAAAATAACCATCTAGATGCCTGCCATATACTTAAAACTGTTGTCACAAAATCAAATCCTATTCTCTTTAATTTCTGTAAATAGCCTGAACCCCCATACGCTATTATTTTTTCCTCCACGATTTCATCTAAAAACTTTTCAAGGGAACTAACTGTGAGTTGTGTACTATTTTTATCCCATAAGTAAAATAGATGGGATGATGTTTCCAGTACAACTACTGTGGGTACCACTAAAAATGACATTGTTATACTATTTGCTGTTTCTTCATCCGGCATCCAGAGAAATTGGAATGAATTGTGAAATTTTTCTCTTTTATTTCTTGCAACTTCCCTGACAACATTTTTCAACTTTTCACACTGGTCATGTAATGATTTATCTTCAGAGTTTATTATTGTTAAAACCAAATATTTCCCAGAATTGGCCATTTCATTCAAGCCACCTCCCATAACTTTTGGAAATGCAGGGAATCGCTCTTGATTAAACCATTTTTCAAGTTCTTCATAAGTTACCACTCCTGGATTTGATTCCTTGAACTCAAATTCAGAATTGTCTTTAAATACAAGAACTGTTGGGTTGACTGTTGCCTTGATATTAGAAGGTAAGGCATTCATGGATCCAGAATAAAAGTAGCCATCTATTATGTTTTTTTCAGCTAAAGAACTGTATTTTTTAAATAAGTCATTATTGGCATCATCGTCTCCGACAAACATAAAGAAAACTGATGAAGCATGCTTTGTCTTAGCTTCAGAAAATCTGCCACTGCTTGTTATCTTTCGAACACTTGGACCTTTTGCTTTTGTTGCAAAATCTATGATGTCTTCCTTTGATCGATCTCCCCTGTGTGTGTAAACTTTTTCTCCATTAATAAATTTTATTGTAGGAAATCCTCGAACATCAAATTCTGATGCTACACTTGAATAACGTGTACTGTCTATTTTACCAACTATAATTCCAGAATTTCGCAAAGACAAATAAACCTGATGATAAATTGGTTCCAATTTCTTACAATGTCCACACCAAGGAGCATAGAACTCAACTAACCACATTCCCTCTTTACGTTTTTCTAGTAATTGGTCATTAAGCTCAACTTGACCTAAGCAAATGTGCAGAAATTGACAAAAATGTCCATAAACAAATATTATTTTTATTATTTTGATGGGGGCCGCCATCTTGCAAATGGAGTTGTCCCCCTTCCACAGTTCTTTAGTGCACCTGTTCTTTTCCGCGGGAAACGATATCACAATTTGTTGATCAACATATAGGCCAAATATAAATAAAATCAACATGGATCAAAGTAAATTTGAGGCAGATCGGACAAAAAAATGTATTTTAGAATCAGAAGCACCAGAATGTACAAAGTCAAAGCCATGCTGGCTGGGAATCGATGAAGCGGGAAGGGGTCCAGTTTTAGGTAATTTCCATGTATTCATTCCATTCGGACTGGCTGATAAATACCTAGCTCATTCGGACCATGAGAGTATTTAAGATATGTTTGAATATATTTAATAATAATGTGACAAAAAAAAGAAAATAAATAGCATAATTTGTGATTGATTGCTTCAATAAATAACAATGAGCTAAATCACTGAAATTGTCTTTCAAAAATGATTGGCAATGTCTCAGACTCAGTATCCCAGTTCTGAGTTCACCCACCACAGTGCTACCCAATATTACATATTATACTACCAAGTATTAGGAAATGATTATCCAATATCATTAAATGATAATCCAATACCGTCAAATAGCTGCACACCACTATAATTACTGCAATGAATCTGCAATAATTTTCAATGAAGTTGAAAAAAGGAAAGAAAGTGTTGTGTGTATAATATTTTAATCATTATGGGTGCGAAATCAAATGATTCTTGAAATGTGGCTGTCAGTGAGATCTGGAGATGGCACACAGGTATTAATATTAAACTTGTTCACTCTGATAACTTTTTATGGCAAATGACGGCCAGGAGATAGTCAGAAACATTGGCCATGTTTATTTGGAGAAATCTACAGAGTCAGTACGTCTGCAGTGACTTCAGAATGACCTAGGGCAAGGGTTACAGAAATTAAATTACAAAATGATCAAACTGGGAGTTGTGTGTAGTAATGATGAAAAGCTAAATGATTAGTCTTTGCAGCATACAAGGATTATTTATTATGTTTAGTCCCATTGTTCATCCAAAAATCGATGAACATCAAACATTCATTCTTGCTTATACATGTAATATAACTGGAGATGATGACTGAAAGTCTAAAATGTCAAGAGGTCTGTCAAATATTCCCAAATTATTTAGGTTGGTATAATTCTCTTCAGGTTTACAGTTGCCTTTAAACCAGTAGGGGAAATAATTTGAAAAAAAATAGTTATACTACTCCAAAATACCACATTCTACCAGAAACTTATTTGAAATTATATGCAGCTGTATTACATAGAGTTCATGTTCCTCCCACAGGAAAGAAGCCTGTGTGTACGCTAAGCATTATAAAATAAGACAACTTGTCTCTTGAACACTGATTCACTTATAAAGAAAAACAGCATGTAGCAGGAAAATTTTCCTAGATTTCACAGTATTATCCTTGTTTTTGTCCTTATTGTTAGATGATAGGCTACAAAACAGCTAGTTTTATTTCTGGCAATAATAAGCAATTAAGTGCATATTTCTATTTCCAGAAAATGGTTGCAGTGTGCCATACGTGGTCTAAGGGGAGATAATTTGACCAATTGTTATTACCTCCCCTTAGTAAATGTGTATAAAATTTGTAATAAACAAAAATAATATGTTTTTAAATAAACTAATGAATTTAAAGAAATGATAATATTTTATTTCTGTACTTATCAAAGGTCCTATGGTGTATGGAACATGTTACAGTCCTCTAACAAGTGGTGATTTATTGAAAGAAATGGGATTAGCAGGTGATAATAATAAAGATAATAGCTGTCTTTTCATATATTCGCGTGAACAAGACTTCAATGTGTCTTGAAAGCTTGTAAAATCTTAATGTACTTTTTACCATTAGTTGGTAATTTGCTTTCGATTTTTGATGAAACATATACAAGAGATGACTTGTCAAAACGTTGCACCGCATGTCTAATAAACTAGGGATTGTATTCCATATAAACCATTGCTGTGTTTTACGTACAAATTATTGGTGTCAGTTTTCCAACCTTTCTCAGATAGATCATTTATAACTTATATAAGGTACGATATACATGTATAAAATAGATTGTAGATGGCAAATTGTTGATGCTAGTTTCATGTATTTTAGATTCAAAGACATTAAGTGAAGAACAGAGAGATAGTATGTTTGAGAAGATTCATAAAGCTAGTGATAAAGTTGGATGGATGGTTGAAATACTCCCACCAACATATATCTCAAATAGTATGCTTAGAAGGTTGGTAAAATAACCATACAACATGCAATTGACAAAACTTGGAAATTTACTTAACTCTTTTGTTTTTTTTAATGAAATGCCAAGAAGAAAGTGTTTTGTATCTGTGTATGGTATTCAGCAATAGTCAGTATTCTAACAGAAGATATATATGCATGGAAGGAATAGGAGATTTTTAGTGGCTCTTTTTGCAGGAGTTCTCAGATAAATCACAAACCATACAATATTCTTTGGGCAGGTCTTTTTGTAGTTCTTAGATAAACCACACACTAAACAACATTTTGATTAGGTCTATTTGCAGGACACAATATTCGAACTAATATAGTAACCTGCATCATTAATTCAATATGTTTATCAGACAATGAAACAGAAAATGAATTAGCTTATACACATGTATATAGATAAAGCTGTGATCAATCTGATTAAAATACAGATCTATATTTCGTTTCGTTTTTTTTTTTTATACTTTCGATGGCCTACACGACCTGAAGATCTGATCAGTTGTAGTGGAAGGTCGCGTCGGGTGTCGTATGAGTGGCTTTTGACCTTCTGACATCAGACATTGATTAATCAATCAGCATTGACATTTCTAGTGGTTTACCCCGAGTTCCGTGCACCTCACACCCAAACTCTCTGTAAAAGACTGTCTCATTGACTAATCCCTCACATCATCCAGAATGCGGGATATATAACAACCTTTCCAGATCCTAGTGTAGTGAAGACAAGTAAAACAAAATTTTGAACTATAACAAACAAAACAAAATAGGATCTGTGTTTTAATCAGATTGAACTGTGATCAGTTGTAGCACAATTCTAAGGCACTATTTATTGTATTTCACACCAATCTTTACACTGTTGGTTTCAAAGACACATAAGAGATATCTAACTGGTATTGATGTAGATGCTTTCTAAAGCTCTTTAATCCCCTAAATAAAGTGAAACCCTGAATTATTTGATGGGATTTACTTTATGTGACTTATGATTATTTTATTGACAGGATCAAGTATATTTTGAATGCGTTATCACATGATTGTGCTATTGGATTAATAGAAAAAGTTTTAGCAAAAGGTGTCGATGTACAAGGTGTCAATTATTTGATGGGATTTCCTTTACGTGACTTATGATTATTTTATTGACAGGATCAAGTATAAATTGAATGCGTTATCACATGATTGTGCTATTGGATTAATAGAAAAAGTTTTTGCAAAAGGTGTCGATGTACAAGGTGTCAATTATTTGATGGGATTTCCTTTACGTGACTTATGATTATTTTATTGACAGGATCAAGTATAATTTGAATGCGTTATCACATGATTGTGCTATTGGATTAATAGAAAAAGTTTTAGCAAAAGGTGTCAATGTACAAGAGGTAAGTGGATAGTGAATGTTATTATCCTGGGGCATTTATACAACATACATTTTATTAGTTGTGAACAGTCCCATAATATGCTGTTGAACAAGATCTTGTGTGATTGGTTGTGGTAAAAAGGCTGAACATGTCAATCTGTGTGGAAAATCGAAAATACCTATCAAGATTGTTATCTTTTAAAACTTTTGAACAATGATGTATTTATTAATTTCCCAGTATCTCTGTCATATTTCTTTATATATTTTTTAGATATACGTAGATACTGTTGGTGATCCAATGAAATACCAGAATAAATTAAAAGATCTTTTTCCCAATATTTCCATCACAGTAGCTAAAAAGGCTGATGCTACCTATCCTATAGTCAGTGGTGCCAGTATCTGTGCTAAGGTAAGAATTTAGAAGACAATTTTGGGATGCAGTACACATTTCAAACGCTGATTTAAATTTATATTCGGCATTTCATTAGACAAAGGTAATTATTAATAAATATGTTTGAAACTGTTTAGTTAAAGAAACGATGTCATTTATTTTATTAATATCATGTGTAATTGTAAACATAGGTACATAGTGAATTTGACATGTGTCATTGGAAAAATGCCAATTCCATATCCTTTGTAACTATTTTTATGTTAATAAGCTATGACACAGAATACTCTTCGAAAACGTTGTCCAAATAAATTAGTAGCTGTTTTTCCGTAAGTATGTGTTAAAAGTTTATTGCTCTATCCAGTTACTAACTGCCTTCAAAAGATTAATACAGTAAACTTCACACAAGTCGGATCTAAGTGGAATGACCAATTTCATCGGGAGTTAAGCCAAGATCCAAGTTAGCTGAAGACCGAAATTCAATCTTAGCTCGATTAGAAATAAACTGCAAGAGCCGGATAATAATTGATTCAAAGGCAAATTTCAAGCTTTTGTTTGTATGTGCGAGTAGATAATTTCCTTTTTGGTGCAAGTAGATAACTTCCATTTTGTCGCCAAATTTGAAAAATGGCCTAAATTTTCCAAGAAAGTGTCTCGTACAGCAGACAGCGAGTTTCGAATTTTCCAGGAAAATTCTATTATTGTGTCGCGTCAAACAGGCTGATTTGAGTCAAAATGATAAGGGAAAGCATTTTGGGGCTCTTTGCCGGAATTAGATCAAATGGACTGCACATTTTGATCCGAGTTGAGCAAAGATCCAACTTACGCACAGAAATTTAATAAGAAAAAAAGTGCAGGATCAATTCGAGTTGAGCAAAGATCTGACTTATACGAATCCAATGCGTAGTTTACTGTATCTGTATGTTGTTGTAGGTTGCACGTGATTATTCAGTAAAGAATTGGATATTTGCTGAAGATATTGATACAGAAGGTTTAGTTTATGGGTCAGGTTATCCCTCAGGTAAGTAATATAAAGTGGTATGCTCATTTATAGTCAAATAGTTTGGTGACAAACTGACTTTGTCGAATACGAATATGTGAGGCTGTATTGTAAAATTTATTATCGGCCACGACTCTGTATTGGTGAAAAATAGTGTCACACAAACAAAAAATATTATTGATCTCAAAGAATCACTTAAAAAGAGCTGATGCCTATGTGCAAGCAAATTATTGAAATAAAATGTGTTAGTCCCGAAATGAGCTAGCCTCGATACATGCTGTTACTAGGAATTACATGATAACAAATTTCTTTTATATGTCTACAAGTTTATAAATTCACCATCATAACAGTGCAAAAATTGTCTTAGATTTTGATACTTAAATTGGCAATTCAGCTGAATTGGTCAGCAAGACATTGACACATACATGACACGAAAACAGCCTAGAAAATTAAACTTGTTCTATTGTAATATTTTCTTTTCAGATCCAAATACTAAGAAATTTATGTCGAGTAGTTTAGATAAAGTGTTTGGTTTTACACAGTTTGTGAGATTTAGTTGGTCAACAGCAGCATTAATAATAGAGAAAGAGGGTGTACAAGTCAGATGGTCAGTTATATTAAACAGTATTTTCTTTAGTTTCTCAGTTATATCTAGACTATCAGATGTTCGAGATTTAATGAATTAGAACACCTGCGAGGTTTAAAAATTAAAGATTAAATGGATAATATATTCTGCATCTTCAGACACTCGTAACTTAGCTGAAAATATCGTAATTCTATTTTTGAACTATTGTACCAAGAACGGCTAGCTCTTTAATATTAATATTTTTAGTATGCTTCTAAGTTACAGAACTCAATTCTGTATCCTAGATTGAAATTATATCAGTTCAGATTCTGAACTTCAGAATGTTCCAGACTGAGAGCATCCTCTAGTTGTCATGCAAGTGCTTGATCAAATTAAAGAGATTCTTTGAGCAGTTTCTGCTATTATGACTCCTCTTACAGCATATAAGATACTGTTCTGATAATGTAAAGCTTTAATATTTTTTCTGTGAGATAAACAGCCATGTAAATGATTATTTCAGGGAAGATGATGATGATGAAGAGGAAAATAAAGATGCTAAAGGAAGTGCTAGTTTACTTACATTTTTCAAAAGGTCAGATGATGACCCCAAGTTACACAGACATCAATATTTTACAGATAGATGTTTAACTAGCCTAACTAATTTATAGTACATAACATTAAAGAGCTAATTGTGTATATACATGTAATTAAATACTTTGATACAAGGAAAACACTTTAAAAATGTTAAGTCTAGTCTAATTTGTGGTCTAAGGGGAGACAACACCTTCATATTATCTCCCTTTAATCTCCAAATGAGTTGTCAGCAAAACTACCAATCTGTTTCACAGAGAATTACGAGTCTCGTATAATATCTCTGTCATAAATGACTGCCTTAACACGTGCTCTCACAGCACGCGGTGTGAATCATTGGCTGAATGGCGCGTGCATTGTTTACATAAGACATAACTGCTTCGGAGAGAATGCTGCATTTTAGTCATTTTAATACCCATTTACACTAAATCGGAAATAAATTTTACCTACAAATACGTCAAATGCCATTATTTATTTTTCCAATGTATACAAAAAATGTTTTAGAATTTAATTTGTGGCAGGAAAAAAGTTAATATTTCTAGCTAATTAAGCCGCATCAATGTCATCCTTATCAGTGATTGTCGCGGCCAAGCAAATATTCACTGCGCATCAGTGTGCAAAACTACATTATCCCACTCAGAACGATATTATTGAGAGATTGAAATGTATCCTTCCTTGATTTTGTTTCCAGAGCATATCTGGTAACTGTTACAAGATGTCCCGTGAAACTTTGTAATACATACATTAACCTATTTTTAGTAGAAAGGCCAAGTAAATTTTAATTTGGTTTTTGGATACAATTTTAGAGCACATCTTATAAACCATGCAATTTGTTTTCATTCAAGAACTGAGTTATAACTTTACAGTCGTATAACTTTGATAGTTTTGACAAAGGGTGGTGGTGTTTGTAATCGATTTTGAAATAGCATAATTGGGATGTCTTATACTGTTTACCTCGCATGTAAAACTACTAATATTTGGTTGTTCATTTTAATGACAAAGAATGTCTATCTTTGTGCCTTCCAAAATATGTTGATGAATGAGTCTTCTCGAGTTTCTGTTGTTCCATGAGTAGTGCAAGAGCCATAGAAATATATTATACTATTCAAAAAAAGTAGGGGATATTTGATTTTGGGGGCATAATACTAAAATATGCAAATGACTACGAAAAAAGTCACTATAGAACCTAACAGAAGAAACATTTCCAGTTACATGTGACGCCCAAACGCACCAATAGCTACCGCATGGAATGCAGGTGATGCTTGGGATCATCATGGGGGTCCAACCCAAGATTTGCACGACTCTGACTTTGAATGTTACAGTCATTGTGGCATTGAATTCCAGGGTGGAAACATCAGTTTAATTGTTTTAGTGACCAGAAAACAAATTTTGAAATGCGTCGGCTTACCCAAAATGAAAGGTTACGTGCCCTTGGCATGCTACAGATCGGCACAACACAGGCGGTTGTGGCGCGGACAATGAATGTTTCTCAGTCTGTCATAAGCAGGCTATGGTCCAGATACCGTGATACACAATCTGTACAGGACACACCACGCTCAGGTCGACCAAGGTCGACAACTCAAGCCCAGGATCGATTTATCCGTACCTTGGCCTTGAGAAATCGTGTCATCACAGCAAATCAGATCAGCGCTCGTCTTCAAACAGACACTGGTGTGAGAGTGAGTGGCCAGACGATTTGGAATCGACTGCATAGGGGTCACCTTCGCGCCCGACGTCCTCGCGTGATCCCTTGTTTGAGAGATCATCACATTCAGGCAAGACGTCGTTGGTGTAGGGATCGTCAACACTGGGATAATCGACGCTGGAGCAATGTGATGTTTTCAGATGAGTCAAGGTTCACTGTTGATTTTTTGGACAGACGTAGTCCATGTTGTGCCGTTCGCACGACGTCATGGCCGCCGTTTCATCTTCCAGGATGACAACGCAAGATGTCACAGGGCCAGGATCGTTACAGGTTACCTCCAACAACAGAACATCACCACATTACCTTGGCCAGCACTGAGTCCCGACCTCTCCCCCATCGAGCATGTCTGGGACATGCTTGGACAGAGGTTACGTCAACGTCAACAACGTCCTGCCAATGTCCAAGAACTTGCTGCTGCGTTGCAACAGGAATGGGACAATCTGGACCAAAATGACCTTAGATGTCTCATTAGGAGTATGCCACGTCGGATCAATGCTTGTTTGGCAAACAGAGGAGGATTTACCCGTTACTGACTTGGTTGTGATGCTGTGGTAACTTTGCTGTTTGACCCCGGGTATCATTTTACCCTTATAATGGTCAGTCTGTGCCTTACTTAGTCTAACGATCATTTGGAATAAATCTATGAATGTGAACTTCATTTCATTTTGTCATTTGTTTCTTCGTCAGTTTCATTAGGTGACTTTAATAACACTTAAAAATCAAATATCCCCTACTTTTTTTGAATAGTATACCTTGTTTTATTTCAATTTTCAAAACCTTATATTACAAATTGACTAAATGGTCGATTCATTTTTCAAAAGATTGAATAAAACTAATATTAATTCTTACCTTAAATATTCTGTTTTACAGTACATTACAGATATACTGTATATATACCATTTTGAATTGGCATCTAGTACAGAACACTTTCAGCAGTGTAAGGCTATATACTTCTTGGTCACCCCCAACCCCTCCCTCAGTGTACATGGGACAAACATTTGTGTCTATATGTCATTCACACACTGCTTTACTATATATAACAAACAAAAGTTTAATATAATTCAACCTGTTTACTCTTTCGTATCACAACTAACAATGAGAGAAAGCATGGTACATATATATAATTATTTCATTCGTATTTTATATATTCATTAACAACAGATACCCTTCTCTAATAGGGAAATTTGTCCATTATATAAACCCAATAATAACGAAGACTAGTGACACAGCGCAATGTAATTTAAAACAGAATTGTTTGGCAATCAGCAAATCTCTTTTCTTCTTTCTTTTAATTGTGCCTTGTGTATAAAAATGAACTAAGTGGTCCATATTAGAGAGGGTTATCTGTATTGTCGATCATTTTATTGATATATCCAGCATATACAATTAGCACATATATTTGGCTAATAGATCAATGTATGTTAAGCTGGATTCAACTTACCAGTATTCATACTTTCATATTTATTTTTAATCCTTTTAAATTTTTCATTTGATTTCACTTTTTGCATAACTAAGCACTGTCACTATTTCTCAAAGCTCTGAATATTATTCATAAATCCATCAAAATGACTGAAAGGTTCATTGGTGTTTAGGAATATGTAAGCAACTAGCTAAGTTTTGTAACTAATTAGAATCACTTATAAGAATTATTAAAATTACATTTGAAAGAAAATATCTTTAAATACCAGTACCATTGACTTTCTCAATACAGTATTAAATAAAATGAATCCTAACATTTTCTATCTGTTTATTGTCATGCCACGTAAAAGTCTCTCTCTTGGATGTGGCAGTAAAAATTGACTCCAATTTAGGTTTCTTTCATAAAATTTATAGAAATAACATAAAAATAAAATAAGATAAAATTAGTGTCTCATAAATGTCCTTCATCTGACGAGACATATTTCAACAAACATTGAAATCCATTTTTCTATACCAGCTATCGAGATCCAGACTTTGTCGTTTTAATGTATAGTTTTATGATAAGCAGTGACTTGGTCGAAAAACATTAGAGCTCTCTTACAACTTTTCAGCTACCTCTCAGATGTGTTCAGTTTTTCGTTCATAGATATCCTTTAACTAACAATACTTCAAAAGACCAACTAAATTATCAAATACAGTCTATTAACCAGACTATTATTTTAATGTATTGAGGAACGGGCTGCTATTAACCCAACTATTATTTTATTCTCGGAAAAGGAACAAGGAACAGGCTGGGCAGATATAACCTATCTCCTAATCATTAAGATATATTTTCAAGCAGTTCATTTAAAGATCATTTTACAAAGGAAAATTTACTTCTGACTTGAGGGATGAGAATTAACAGGATTCAGAAACTTCAGGAATATTTTACAATCTCACCGGGTTGATCCTTTAAAAAAAAAAAAGTATGGAAGAAGTGCTTATTTTGTACAAGAAATATTTTATGAGTATAATTCACGGGGTTAGCGGGAAAGTGTTTCAAGATGGTGGGGGAGTCTTTTGAAGTATTGTTACACATATAGATCTTTTGATGGTCGTGGAAATCTGCTGATTCCATAATTCAGGAAGAAGAAACACCATTTATTTCATCATTTTCAATCCATGAACACCATAAAAATAATCACATGGCAGTTATCCCAGAATCGATCGGATTATGTCCCTTTGACTGATCAAAATTCAATACAACAGAAGATAATATTTGGTTTTCGAAGAACAAGCAGTTCCTGTCATCACAATTTATACAAAATAATACATGCAGCATCACATAAATAAATTAATAAACCTATTAAAAATTTCAGTTCTGTTTCATGAACTACGATCTTCAGGAGTAGCACTTCCATGAATTATTTGAATCTCCATCTTGTTTTCTTGAAGCATGTATCTTTGCACAAACTCCATTAAACTAAACTGAAAATAGATTGGATCTCCATAGAATAGTTGACTCATCAAAACGAAAACCTTCATACTTAGCACATGACAATTTACAGGATCTCGATGCTTCTTTATAATATTTCATCATCTTCAGAATGTGGGCGTCATGTAACAGTCTGTCTATTCACATAACACAAGCTATCTACACAGTATATAAAATAATACTAACTCTGGTATATAAAAAAAAGTAACAATAGGTACGCAGCAAACAAAAATAATTTGATCGCAATTTTCAAGAACTTTAGCCAAAAAAATAGAACTCAAGCTCAGAAGCATCATATAAGATAAAAGTTCATCTTTTGAAATTTTATGATGACACAAAATAAACATTTTATATTTAAAAACAAAAACATCATAGTTTTTAACATGGTAAAGTTGAGAAGGAGTAGGGGGATTAATATATCATAATAAATGTGATTTAGAGTGAAACAAAATAAAGAACTAAATTTTTTATAATAATTAACAATAATTGTACTAATTAATCTTTATCAGACAGAATATGTTTGACTCACTGATAGAGGGTGTCACATTGCTTAGCCATTTTTTCACACCTGGTACCAAATTCCACTAATTTTCACATATGGTAAGTCTACTTACTGCTTCTCAATTTCATAACATTCAACCACAATGTATTTGGATACTGGTTTGGATTGACTTTTATCTGTGCAATTTTTTTTTGTTTATCTGAACGATGGCAGTTATTGAGGTAGCTGAAACTTATTGAAAAAGATCGTTTTTAATTGTTTACCCATCATCAACAGTGAACTGGTGGCAAACATATTCTGTCTCTAAATTTATATGTAACTTAACAATATTCAGTAGATAATACAGTTTAAAGTAGCTAAGTCTCTAATTCAATATCATCCAAAATCTTCGACATTGAAAACACAAATTATTTGTGGGTTTAAATCAACATTGATGTTGTGATCTTACCGGGAAAAGATGGCCTTCTGATATCCAATATTTAAGACAAAATAAACATTTTACAATTGGTGCACGAATCGTATACCATAATGCGTTTCGGTGCTATTTGTAATAACGAGGCTAGGCATATTCCACAAGTCATGTCAAACGGTGACACTATATTCTTATCTGGAGGGCATGCCCAATAAATACTATCTGCGTAGACTGGAATAACTAGATGCCAGTGATTGAAATTCGATTGAGAATACTAGCGTATTTCGCTGAACCTAACTGATTAGAAATTCAGTAAAACCATAAACGATTGAATGTAAATCAATTTATATACATTCATATTACATTATTGTTTGCGTTGCGACCCATTTGTGTCAATTTCTAGGTCCCAAATATTAGGGACTTAGCTCCTTTAAATTTATCTGGCCAGTAAGAGTATGTATTTTAGAACCACCCTGGGACCGGCTATCTAAATTTAAGTCATCTGAATCTATCATACATGAGTTAATGACCAAATAAATTCAAAATACTACATTAACTAACATCATAAAATCAATATTAATTCAAAAATATTACTTTCGCAGATAAGAGGGAATATTTCCAAGTAAAGCCAAAATAATTTGTATTAATATATTACATGTACAAGAGAACAAAGGTTTTCCTGGTTAAGAATGTATTTTTTCTTGAAGAGTGAGAATATACCGGTACCTATAATTCCTTATCAACATAGGCATACAGGATTATTTGTGGGGGTGGGGGGGGGGGGGGTCTTCCTTTTTAGCCGAACATACCAAAAAGTGACTCACAAGGGTGTTTTTTGTTTATCGAAGGATGTGAATATTGATATTAGCGAGATTATTGGTACTATAAATTGAAATATCAGTCTAGAAGATTCTTGTTTGAATATGACCACTTATGTTCAAAACGTGTTCAGTGGAATAGATAGAAACGCAAGGATGTCTCGGATTTCTGTGACTACCTTGCACAAATTTCGATCGGCCAAAATAGTATAAGATTTCCCTACGTCTTTTCTTATCCAATGAAAGGAATATCTTTAAACTGTTACAAGAAAAAGTCATTTAAAATCAAAACCCATAACCATGTATAAATAAATGTAATCTAAGTTGTGGTGTACATATGTCAGAGTCATCTGGTAGGTTAAAAAAACCAAAAACAACCTTAATCGATTTCCAATAATTTGTACCCTGAAAATGTCAAGTTTGTAAAATTTTATTGATTATCTTTCAAGAAGAAATGTCATAAGTCTGATCCAAGTTATCTTTATAACTTTAGTTAGGAAAGTTTATCACAAAAGAAATAATGTTTAGAAAGCATTAAAATAATAAAACTGGGAGCCTTATGTAAGAAAACTAAAATTAAAAATCAAGTTATACCTTAACAAAGCCTTTTTGAATTCAGTCCAAATAAAATGTATTGATTTGATGTGTTCATTCCATCAGTGATGGGGGTAAGCTAAGCTTTATTTGACTAAATTTTAATTTTGGCAGATAAAGCAGAAGTAGGTCTTGTTGACTAATAATTCCACTTAATTTAAATGAAAACAGATCACCATTTCACATAACCAACAGATCAAATTTAACTAAATCAAACATTTGAATATCAACAGTTGCATGCACTTTATGAGTTTTCCAAAATAATCTCTACAAGCATAAGAGACATACATCTGTAGCTGTTTTCTAAAGTGTTGAGATTATTAAGAATAAATAAACAATTTTTGAATTTCTGTGGAAATTCTGAAGGATTCTGTATTAAATTCCAAAGATATATTAATTAACCTACCAAAATGCTTTGAGCACTGTCATCTACATAATCAGTATTAATTATCTCAATCCATTTCACAGCCATATAGATAATCATGTAATAACCACATATTCGTTTAACAAATTTAAAAATGAAAATAAGCACTGATTGTATATTGGTTTTAACAAAAGTTTAAGTAAAAGTTTGCTTATAAACCTACATGCAAACATCCTTAGCTCCTCAAATAACTGTATAAATTTGGGTACCAGAAACTTAAACCAAAGATAACATTTAAAGATTGGATTATAAAATTAGTTACTGGAAATTTACAAGGCAATTAATAATATTAGTTAATTAATTCAGATATAATATAATGGTAGAAGGGGGTGAGAGGCATCTAATATATTGAAATTCATAATGGTTTACGACGAGCTATTATGAATTCATAAAATTTGACACCCCATTGAATATGTATTCCTAAGATGATTATAATAGGTTTATATAATTAAAGTCAACTTCAAAAAACAAGTGCTAACATTCAGTAAGAACTTAAAAAGAAGTTATTGTTTGAAATATATTAAATATTACCATTTTGTTTAATGGGGTTTTTTTTTATTAATAAAATACCTCAAATTTGTTCAAATTATGAAAATTTAAAATCAAAATTTATACAACTAATTTTGTATTTTGAATTGATTCACAAATAGAATTTTAGTTCTTTGCAATCCTGATAGATAATTTCATATAAGCAATGTTTTTCTTAAATTTCAAAGCGTAACAAAATTTGAAGCTAATTGCCTTGAGAAGATCCACAAATTCACAAGGTAAACTATATTTCAACATGAACTCATGAAGTTTTGAAATTATAGAAAACCCTACACCTAAATATCATATTAATGTCTTATTGCATCATACAAGGCCATCAGTGTTAATTTCTTTTTGCATCATAGAAGGCCATCAGTATTGATTTATTATTGCATCATAAAAGGCCTTCAGTATTAATTTCTTGATGTACTATAAAAGACATTAATCAGTATTAATTTAACACAATAACATTTGTTTGATTTACAGTACATCATTTAGGTAATTTTCTTTTTGTTATTTTTGTTTTTGCTAACAGAAATAATATATTCACAATTTAATATTTTTCAGATCTGAAAAGTGTAAATGTTTCAACTTTTGACACATAATTCATTTCCTCATGATTGAAATATAGTGATGGATTTCCTAAAACTCAAATGGAATTAAGAAAAATTGAAAGTAGGATTGGCATCTTTGTTCAGTGAAGTGTCAATCTCTAAATTTTTGTGGTTGTTGTGACTATTTCCATACAACTTCATGTATATTTAATTACTGTCTTAACATCCTATTTGCTTTCAAAAAATGAGACAGGAAAGAGAAGTATATTTACTTATTGAACTGGTATATATAATTTTCTTTGATAATTTTTTTTGTCCGACATCTATTTAAGATCACTTCCATGTAATAGGACAATTCTAATGGTTGCTTCAATTCATCACAAATGTACAAATATCTTTAGTTTTTGTAGAGAACAAACAATAAAATTTTATTTATCATACATTGTACATGAACAGATTAATCTCCTAACTTTCATGTTCTTATGAGTATCTTTATTAGGAATGATATAACAAAAATAAACCATTTCAAAAATTCTAACTATATTCAGAACTTGCAGTATTCTCAGTTTCTGAAATCAATTTCCGGACAGATAAAATATTTCTATAAAGATACTTTTCAAAATGTTAATCCCAACTAAACGAAAATCGAGGGAAGTTCAGATATTTAGCTAACAATTTTGTGGGGCTTTATATACAAGTCCAGATACATGGGATTTGAAAGAGAGCATTGTGAGCATCCTAAGATGTATGGAGCTTGGCTTTTACAAGTTGTCATTAAGCAGATAAACCACCGCAGCAAACAAAAACACACTATTTCAAACTGGATTTCCATTCAAAGTCATAATTATGTAATCTTCCTTTTGAGGTGTAAGAAATTTCTTGGCATTTAAGTTTCTTCAATAGTTCTACCAGAGATAACAGGAACAAAATATATCTCTCCAACATCATGGTTTTATTCAGAAAATGATAAAAAATAATAAACAGGAACACAGTCTTCAAAAGTGTCCATCTTCTCTTAGATAAATAAAAAGTTCTGCGACTTCCAACCAGCACTTGTTTAATAACACCAGGCAAATAAATCCAGAAATCCAGCAATCCAAATCCAAAGCAAGCAGGTAGGCAGATGTAATGTAGTTTCTAGAAAAAGTCTCAATAAATAAAGTGTAATAAATTATATATAATTGTATCAATACACATAAAAATCTCAATAATTAAATGGTAATCTATTATATATAAGGCCAAATCAATTTAAATTTTAGTTCTTTAGGGCCTTGATAAATAGATACTCGGACCATGTTGTGAAAATAATGTCCTAGAGAGACAGAGAGAGAGAGGAAAATGGGCTTTAATGTTCACTTGACACATACTAGGTCATTTTCGGACTAATACACATGTTTTTGTTTTTATTTTATTTCAATAATTCGCTGCATGTAGAGGTCTTGGGTAGTGGAAGGACCCGAAGAAAACCCATGAGGTTGGACAGGCAAGCCTACTCCTTGTCACGTACAAGTGGGGAATCGAAACCACGCCACTTGACTCAATGACAGATCTCATGATCAAACGCGCACGTATTAACCATTCGTCCACCCAACCACCCTCATAAAGGTAGAGTAACAAGCCAACACATATTAATTAATCGCACATTTATTTTTTTCAAAAGTATCAAGCAATTAAACTGATTATCAACTATACACTAAGTTTCATCATTCTCTATCAGATAGAATCAAGATTATCTTGTCCCAAAGCATCTGCTTAGCTTTAGCGGGAAATGTTAATCATTGAACTCAGTCAAGACATTCACCTAATGAACATCTACATCAAGTTTAAACATTCTACCTCAATTAAAAGTAGAGTTGTTATGTTCCAAAGTCTTGACCAATCAAATTGCTAATCGTCCTCCTTAGCCTAAGCAGAAAATTCTCACCATCGAACTTAGTCAAGGTAATAATATAATGAATCAATATTCAGAGTTTCATCGCTCTCACTTCTTTATAACCAAAGTTATCATGCCCCAAAGCATCAACCAATCAGATTGCTTATCTCTGCTTACCGTAAGCAGACAATGTTCATCATCGAACTCCATCAAAGCAATCAAATTGCTTATTGCTTTGCTTACCCTCAGCAGAAAATGTTAATTATCGAACTTAGTCAAGGTATTGATGGAATAAAGCTATACACCAAGTGTCCTCACTCTCACTTAATTAGAACTTAAGTGTGAACATTCTAACTCAATTACTGAAATAGAATGAGAGTTATCTTGTTCGAAAGTCTTGACCAATCAAACTGCTTATCGCTCTGCTTTCCCTGAGCAGAAAAGGTTCATTATCAAACTTACTTAAGGTATTAGAACTAAATTAGAACTAAAGTTATCGTGTCCAAAAGCATAAACCAATCAAATTGCTTATCTCTGTTTACCCTAAGCAGAAAATGATCATCTTCGAACTCCATCAAGGCATTGACCTAATAAACACCTACACCAAGTTTGAACATTTTAACTCAATTAGAAAGAGTTATTGTGTCCCAAAACGTGTGACGGACAGACAGACAGACGGAAGAACCCATTTTAATAGTCCCTTGCTTCCTTCGAAAGGCCAGGGACAAAAAGTTTGATTTATATGTACATGTACATATATTAATCTTACATGTGTTTTGTGAAACGGGATCCTGATGGTTTTGCTATTTAATCTTTTTATAAATTTGATCAATACTACAGAATATACAATAATACTGTAATATAATATTTATCTGTTTAGATCGATACTGCAATCTTTATCTGAGAATTTCCAACTGATTAAATTATAATGTAGATCACAACTGCTATACATGTATATGCACATTATCACGGTGAAAGCAACAGATGTGTATCAGAATTTACACTGTATATATATATATACATGTATATATAGATTTATCTGTTAAACAGTTTATATATCTATACGTTTTTGAACACTTCTAGTCTATCTTGTGACAGTAAATCTTTCTGTCCCAAAAATGAAGGCAATTCAAACAAATTTATTGATCACTGTTGTAACAGCATTGAATTTATAAGGTCACCATGAATTATAATGGACACTGAATCTTAAAAAATTGGCTGCTACTTCAACCATGTAATGGGGCCACATTCTACACGGGTGGGCATCTGCAAAGACCATTTGTGTAATTTTCTTCCGAAAAAAGAAATAGTTGACTTTTAATTAAGAAAATGTGGATCCTTTTTCCCAATCTTTCCCCACAATAATTCAAAATGGAAGCACAAGCAGAAAATCATGTACATTGGTACTGTACATGTATGTCTTGCAGCAAACACACTTAAAATATATACACCAGAATATAAAATACCAGACTATGTGAAATGTTAAACATTCTTGCTACACAATGCGATTATCGATAATTCTTTACTTTATTAATCAAATGATGCACATCTGCAGTGCCTCTTTAAATGTGCAAGAAAACTAATCCACATAGAGAATAGGCACAAGCTTACTAAGTTAAAACAAAGCAGATCAGAACCTCAATTTTCAAGAGGAGATATTTACGATACAGCACACATATACATATATCAGAGTTTATCGAGTTACTTTGAATGCTTATGAAGACTACAATATTGTAAAAGTTGGATCTCTAAGAAGAATATTGGTCTGATATGATGAATTGACAATATCGCAACATTCAACATCCTCTGCAGACAATATACATTAAAATGCAAGCCAACAACACCTATTAATGTTAAATAAAATGTTTTGCTGGGCCTTCTTTTAATCTGATTAAGTCCCAAGCTTGGGTATATATATCGTTGATATTTTAGCGTGGATTAAGCTTTGAAAAAATACACATTGACCAAAAGATAGGTTGTCTGGCAACGAAACGTATGCCCACAGCAGCTAAGTTGTCTGGGGAGTCAACAAGGGTTGTCGCATATTTTTTTGTTTTTTGTCAGAAATGAAAACATTTACAACACACTAAAATCTGATTACAAATAACAACCCATTTGGCTTCTAGTTCTGCCCTATTCTAACATTTAGCATACAAAACATTTAATATCTATTTCCATAATCATTGGAAATTGTTGAAAATTGACAGGCTTCTTCATTTCATGACCTTAAACACTGTGTATAAATTTAAAGTCAATCAGTTATTAACTTTAAACTCTAGAGCTTCTACACGATTTTTCAAAGAGGTCAAGGGCCATAACTCTGGCAGTAATTATCAGAAATAGTTGAAAATCAATGTGTATAAATTTAAAGTCAATCAGATATTAACTTTAGCCTAATGAGCATCAACAAGATATTTCAAAGTGATCAAGGCCATACCCCTGGCAGTAATTTTCAGAAATTGTTGGAAATCAATAGGCTTCTTCGTCTCATGACCTTAAACACTGTGTATAAATTTAAAGTCATTCGAATATTAAGGACGGACGGACGGACGGGGGCAACAACAATATACAACCAAATTTCAATGTGGGCGTATAAAAATGCAAATGACAATCGGCAGCTTCAAAAAGCCTCTTCCCTCCTGTCTGAAGACCCTGCCCACCATTTCACACAGATTTTAAGATTTCAGTTCAGTTGTTAGAAACATACGTTGCCAGGCAATGGAACATGTGTTCACCAGAACCCAAGCCATCCATGCCATTGTAATTGATGCCACTAAGCTGCTAACAAGATAGTGTAACAAAGGAGGATAACTTTGGAGGTTAATATCAAAAATTGTTGGAAATAAATAGGATTCTTCTTTTCAGTGGGACTTTTTAAAAAAATGCCAACTTTATCTCTGGTGTATATATTTTTCCATGACATTATTTATTACTTACTGTTACAGCAAATTGTAATAGAACAGAATCCATGATTAATCCACTCATTTAGGTGAAGCAGACACATGCACAGGTAAATTATTCACTGACAGGTAGCGATCATCATCAGTCTTTCTCTTGGTAATAATATATTTAAAGAACTCGTACACCGACCAGGAAATAGCTGTGGAGGGTATCTGATAGATTACACGGGCCTGAAGTCCTCGGAAATAGCCTGTAAAACCCTGAAATTCGTACACAGTCCGAAAAGCTGAAGCCATACCATTAATATACGGCACTCTCGTCCTTGCACACTGCTCTTGTGTGTTTAATAATGTCTTACACACGTCTAATGGCATGGTTACTGTTGCCGCCACCGCTCCAGCCAAGCCTCCCGATATCACATGACTTGATGGATCGTATCGTCTTTCTTTATTTAAAATGTCTTGTGTAAACTCATAAATCATAAAATGAACACACTGAAACGGGATATTCATGGTCAGTTGTGTTGTAAAACTCCGGTAGAAAGCACCTATTCCCTCCTGTTTTACCGTAGTTCTAGCACAGTCTAAACAAGTTTTATATGGACTACCAAACATCTGCATTCTTTGTTTCACAACTATTATAATCACACACAATATGAAAAGAAAAAAGTAGAATTCATTATCAATCTTGAAATACAATGAACAGAAATATACAAATTTAAATAACTACTTCTAAATATTATACACTGAGCTACTAACACCTATGCATAAAGAGGGTATGGCCTAATTTTACATGAATTCAAAACTGGATATTGAACGGCAATGGTCATACAGCTTTTTCTTGAATGACGTACAATGGTATGAACTATAACAGATGCCCACAATCTAACAATGTCCTGATTGGATGTGTCTGGTTCACTTGTTTAAGCTAAGCTGGTTTAGAAATGCTGAAAATCATTAAGGTACATATAGCGCTGTAGATTAACTTTGTCGTCTGAATGTAAAGGTGAGGCAAATGAACCAGTTTGAGCTTAACATGTTATTACTTTTTAAGGAAATTTTTGGTTTCAAACAGGATAAACACGGGAGTAATTAACTATAGCCTCTCACCATGACTATCAAATCTATTAAGCTGGTTTTGCTCCTAGTCCATGCAAAGACTATGCTCTCTTGTCTTATATGTGCCTGGGATTATAAACCAGTGGCCTGTTTCACAAAATTTTAACTAAGATAAAATCCAAATTTTAGTAATTTGATTGGATAATATTGGGATTGATTTTAGTGCTTAGCCAATCAAAATTGAAGTATCTACTAAAATTTGGATTTTATCTTTAGTTAAAATTTCGTGAAACAAGACCCAGCTTGTAATTCTTTTAAAATATTTATTACTGAAGCGGTCATTAAGCAGGATTTCACTATATTTATAATTAGCCAGTATATATTGTACTGTTTTAATGTGGTATATGGTTTTATCTCTTTTTGTGCTATAACCATACCCTGATCATCATTGTAAACCCCAATAAATAAAGCTTATAATTTCTCTATACATGAAAGTAAAATGTAGTGATTATTGATTCATTGTGTGAGTTGAGCGCTAAAAGAGATGAACAGAAATTACACAAAAACCACAATATTTATTCAGTAGGATAACAAAATGAGATTTTCATGACTTGAAATCAGTAGTACATAGCTATGGTAAGTTGAATTGGTGCCACATTTTGGGAGGCAGCACTTTTTGTCTAGTGCACAGAAAAAAGTTGTTTTCTGTGGGGACAGGGTGAGAATATTTTTGCTTTTTGTTTAAACATACATTATGCAAGAGCTAAATCTGTCTATTGCAGGTCTTTCTTTAGGCCTGAAATGTTATCTAAATTATTAATTAGATATTAATTAACCTATCCAGACCATAATCAACTCTAGATGGCATTGCTAGTCAGTAGTCTGCGATCTTTAGTGGATTATGAGCCGATTTACTGCATAACTTTCCTTCACTTTAGTAATGATGATCGATGCTAGGCGGAAATTTCAATCGCTTAGTTCTCGGTTCATAGTGGATCAATTTGAATGAAATTTTCAGCAAATTGCCTTTACATTATATAGTTTTTAACTATTATCGTGAGATCTGCCAACTCATTATCAAATCTCCTATAATGTATATTTAAGTATGTTTGATGTGCATTGTATTTTTTTTTTTGTAAGGGCAGCACAAACTTTGGCTATGACACTGCATGATGTTTTATGTACCGTACATAATAGAATGGAATTTTTTTCAGCTATATGAATGCTCAAATAAATAAAATGTATTATCAGGTTTCCTACTAAGCACATTAAGCAGAACCTGTATTTATGGGGAGAAGGGGCTGCAGTGCATAAAAAAAAAACCCTGGGATCCTGTGTACACATTGACGTGCATGTAAAAGAACCCTTGACAGTTGGAATTCGAAATAAGAGTAAGTGCAGCTGTCTGGGCAATAATTTCCCTCAATGCACACTTTATGGCATATGCCTGTCTTCATTAGCCCAGTTGGTGCAGAAAAGTAGGATGTTAAACCCCATTTCATTTCATTTTGTAAACAAATAAGAAAAAAAACAGCTACATTTCGTGCAGCTGTCTGGGCAATAATTTCCCTCAATGCACACTTTATGGCACATGCCTGTCTTCATTAGCCCAGTTGGTGCAGAAAAGTAGGATGTTAAACCCCATTTCATTTCATTTTGTAAACAAATAAGGAAAAAAACAGCTACATTTCCGACTCCTCCTCCTTGAATTTCAACTGTAAATGGATCTTTTATATTCACTATAAATTAGTATACAGGACCCCTGGTTAGCATTGTATTCAATGGGCTAAAAATATTTTATTTGTTGTAACACTACCCTTTAAAGGACCGAAGTCCGTATCTCAAAATCCTCCAAAATCTTCGACATAGGAAACACGAATTATTGGTCAATTTAAATCAACATTGATGATGTAAACTTACCGGGAAAAGATGAGCTTCTGATATCCGATATTTAAGATAAAATAATTTTTTTAACATTGGTACACGAATCGTGTACCATAATGCGCTTCAGCCCCAGTTGTATTGAGAGACTCGAGGGACGAGGCTAGACACATTGCACCAAATCAAATGGAGTTATGTAGACTAGAATAACTAGACGCTAGAAATTTGCACTCGATTGAGATTGCTGACTTATTTCGCCGAACATAACTGATTTGAAATTGGAGTAAAAACGGAAACCATTAAATGTAAATCAGTTTATATACATTCATATTACAATATTATATGCGTTGCGACCCACTTTTGTGAATTTCTAGGTCCCAAATGTTAGCGATTTAGCTCCTTTAAGTTGTCATAAAATTAAACTTACCATCTGCTGGATTCATAACTAAATCATGTAAAACAGTAGCTACACATCCAGCAGCACCTAAAATAAAAACATATTTAAACAAATAGCATACAAACATTTTAAAATTTACATTTAATAATAGCCAAAATATTTGTCTCACCTATCATCTTCTCTTATTAGGCAAGTTACTAGTGAAAGATCAGATACACAGATTTATTTTGGGATTTTTTATTGGTTAAATTATTCTTTGTTGAATAATGTTAAATTATAATGTTTCTTGAGGCACATAGACTAAAAATGGTTGACTCCCTGTTAAAAGGGGTAATGCAAAAAGAAACATATTTACCATTTATGGCCAAAAATGTACAAATAACGTAAAATTTTGGAGAGACTTACCATGAGCTAGATGGTTACTGTGTTTATTACTAGAAAAAGTCTTTTTTAATTTTTCATAACATGCAAAATACATGGCATGCGCTGGACCAGCACCAGATACAACAGAGTTAATTCCCCTTAGTGTGTTCTTCATTCCTTCATGTCGGACTATTTGATGTAGGGCGTCATATAAACTACGATAATCTGCCTTTGGATTAGGAACAAGACTCTGCATTCTTGTCTGAAATATATAGAAATGAAATGAAATGGGGTTCAACATCCTACTGTTCTGCTCCGAACTAGACTAATGAAGACAGGCATAATACAGTGTGCTATGAGGAAAATTTTGCCCGAACAGCGGCACTACGGCCTACTCTTATATCGAATTCCAAATGTCATGGGATCTTTTATGTGCACGTCAATGTGTACACGGGACCTCGGTTTTTCGTCTCATCTGAACAACTACATGTATACATTGCCCCTTGCCAGGCCTTCTGAAAATCCGAAGATTAGCGAGCCAACGTCCTACCCACTGAGCCACCGTGGCTCCCTGAAATATATAGAAATATATTTAACTAATGCATGTTTATGACTGGTTATGTAAGCTCCTATTGGCTGGCTCATTTTTATTTCGTTCACCTGGCATCACAATATTTTATGATACAGATTGAGTTATCAGCTCTCTTTCATATTTATCACATGGTTCATACATCTATAAAGGAAAGCAACAGAGTTGAGAGAGAGAGAGAGAGAGAGAGGGTTTAATGTCCACTCGACACAAACTAGGTCATTTCGGGACTAACATATGGTTTAATTTTATTTCAATAATTCGCTTGCGCTTAGGGGTCTTTAGCAGTGGGAGGAAACCGGAGGAGCCGGAGAAAACCAGCTAGGTTGGACAGACGACCATACTCAATGACAGATTTTATGATACAGCGTGCACACACTAACCATTCAGTCATCTAACCCCCCAACAGAGTTAGCGTCTCATCAATACACTGATCATTTCTAGACTAACATACAGTTTTCTAGAGTCACTTCTTCACTGAATTTTACGTGCACTCCAGTGTATATTCTTGTCAACTCAATACTTTGGACATTTGGGACAAACATATTATTTTTGGTTGAAAGAAAAACTATATATTTCCACATACTCTTCATCTAATTTGACAAACTGTCAAAAACTTCTATCACCATTCTTCCTAAAAAAAATAATCAATAAAGCACCTATCGAAATCATCCACCAGGCACTAATTTTATCAAATAAGCCTTTATTTCTGGTGAAGATAATATGGATAACACTTCTGGTATATTTTTTGGGGACATTTTGGGGGGAATTCAGAGATCTGGGAGCTCAGGGCCCTGTTTCACGAAATTTTAACTAAAGATAAAATCCAAATTTTAGTAGATACTTCAATTTTGATTGGCTAAGCACTAAAATCAATCTAATAATATCCAATCAAATGACTAAAATTTGGATTTTATCTTAGTTAAAATTTCGTGAAACAGGCCCCAGGATTTGAATTGTAATTTAATGCTGCAGGGCTCAACTGTTATAACAATGTGCTAGTCAAGCCTCTTTAATACTGGTCAGAGGAGATTTATATAATAATTGTGTACACACTATATCAGACAAGGTCATAATAATATAGCTATGTTATTTTACTAGAACTTTCTATATGAAAGATTTAACTGTAAACTATTAGTACTATTGACAAAACATCAACAGTAAGGCATAGCAGTAATAACCTATTTCTAATACAAACATTTGTCAAAACCTTTCAATCAATTATTTTTTTTTTTTTTTTTCAGCAAAACTATAACAGCTTTATGTCATTTTTTTTTCAATCTTCAAATTCTGAAACTTGAACATACCGGTATATGCAGAATATACAACCACCCATTTAAATTTTTATGTAATTTGACTGAATATACATATTTGTATATCATTACAAATAAACATGCAAAAAGAAGGTCAAAGGCATAAATTACTGTGAAGTAAAAAGCTAACAGTGAGGTTAATATCCTCTGTCGCAGTCCATAGATGACATTTATTAGATGAGAATCAAGCAGAATTATCATGTTTAAAAATATCAACAAATTGCTCACAACTCAGTCAAGATTTTCACTTGATGAACATATAAAACAAGTTTGAACATTCTTTCTCAAACAGAAGCAGAGTTACTGTGTACCAAAAACTGTCACATATGGAAAGACAGACCAAATTTAATAATCCCCTGCCCTCCTGCAGCTTTCTTTGAAAGGATGGGGTTAACAAAAAATTCATAAACTATAAACTGTTTATACACACAATTAAACCATCACCATACTACTTCCCAAATATCAGTGGAAAGGAAGCATTATTCATATAATTCATAAACTATAAACTGTTTATACACACAATTAAACCATCACCATACTCCCCAAATATTAGTGGAAAGGAAGCATTATTCATATAATTCAAATCTTGTAACTTGTCAACTATTGTATTTAAATATTAGGAAAGATTAACAGTGGACAACAGATAACAACTAAATAAACAATTTTAGTTCTTTAACAGCACTTATGACTTGCCACATAAAATCATATTTTACAATAGGTGGAAGAACACACAGCTAAAAGGTGATTGTTTTATAATACATAGGCTCTCTGTTCAAATCAACATTTGTCTTTTCATTCAGATATTTACTGCCAATATTACAAATATAAAATTTCAAATATCAAAATATTGAGGCTTATGATGATTTAAACATTAGACCTATATAAAAATGATCCCAATATATACATCCTTAAATAATTTGAATCCTGTTATGACACGTTTAACAAGTTGTTCTTTATGATTGGCTGATTAAACTATGATTAAAGGCATTATATTTTTTTATGATATCCTTTTCCTTTTTCCAATACTGTTTCTGTGCTATACATGAATAACACATAGCAATTTTGGAATGTTCGACTTTAACAATTGAAATCAGACAGCATATAATAATATTTATGTAAAATACTGCACCAAAGAACACAGATATCATCTGAATACTGGATATATGATTTGTACTTTTAGAGTAAAAAGCAAAATTGTTATTTGTAATTCATATGGTGGAGATGCGAAACAGGATATACAATAAATAAATAATAAAGAGCAACTAGTGAACTATAGAGATAAAAACACACCTCAAAACAACAGCTTCTTTCATATACATGTAGATGAAAAAAATCAAAATGTCTGATTTAATTTGATGGGTTGATTGCATTAGCAAAATGGGGATCCATCTATATCAAAATATTAAAATTTGAGATATACTGGTAAATGATGTTTTCGAAAGACCGGTTTCCCGGCTGTGACGTTCTAGTGTTCACAATACAAGCGTCCAGTTTTCTTACAGCAAGATTTAGTTGTTTGCATTCAGACGTCCCAAGAACAGCTGTTGGTAACACTGGCATAACAAGGTTGAATATTGGAAATAAACCAAGTAAGCAGGGATGTAGTGCCCACTATACAAAATTCCAGTTCTCTTCACACGTTCACAACTACCACATACAGGGCTCACACTGCTTTCAATTTTTTCTGTCAAAAAGGATGACAATTTTTATATACAAAAATATTCATTTTTTTTCTTTCTGCCAACTGGAATATTTTATCTGCCAAAAATGTATGATAAAAAAAGACAACATATAACAATTCTATTTCCCATGTAGGTCTATCATAAAACAATTACACATAATTACAATATACGACTGAAAAAATCTGTCTTTACATAATACATTAGCCAAGTTTTGAGATGAATTACTAAGATCAAATATTTTTTTTCGTGATTTAAGTCTATTTGCAAACTGTATTGCACAATATATTTTCAGTATTTACAGTCACATCTCACCCAAGGATAGCTTTGTTTCGATAAATTTATGTTTTGAGTGTACAATAGAATGATATAAATTTCAATTGTATTTGTAAGAAATGCTTACAATTCTGTTCGTCGTTCACTTCAGAGCATTTTGGCGGCAGTAATACAAAGCAAATGGCGAACCATCTTCTCACTCGAGAATCGTCGCTTTTCCACTTGTACTTACGTTTCCGACCATTGGTGATAATATAATTTGAAATAAAAATATCTGATCAGGCATGCTTGTATATTTTACATGCCGTATGATGTCACAGTAAACGGAATTCACCGACAGCATGAGCCCTGGCCACATATATACCGTGAAACATCTAGGCAAAAACTGTCACAGAATGTATGCATATACCGTGAAATATTCTGGTAAATAAAAAACAAGTTAATATTAACAATCTGAATATCTTGCGTACATGATGAACATGAAAGTTAGTAATTACTGGGATTTTTTTCTCAACAGGGTTGTGACAATTTCACTTGGCAAGGCTACAAGTCAGATTTTGGCATGTATAGATATTTACTGTGTTTAGTCACAAAAATAAACAAGACAAGTTTCATCAAATAATGTTTCCATACTAATGAATGGCAAAATAAAACAATTAAACTAATGACAAATGACTGTCTGAATTAGAAAATATAAAGATTTTAATGGAAGATTTGACATTAGTAAGTGGAGCACCACACCACACCACACAAATACTTGGATGCCAGTTTGACAATGTCAAAATGTTTAAGTTAAAAAGGCATTATGCAAGAGTTAAACTATTAATTAGATATGACAAAACCATAATCAAGTCTTAATGTCATCAGATAGGACTGATTTTAAGTAGATTAGAACTGTTCAGCCATTTAATGATTTGAACTAAAAATGATGAAGCCGGGCTAAGCTTCGAAAACAACCAGTATGATGGTCACAATCTTCACTCAGAATAAATGAAATGATGGTGTTTAACATCATACTGTTCTACTCCGACTGGGCTAAAGAAGACGGGCATACGCCATACAGGGAATTTTTGCCCGGATAGTCGCACTACGGCCTACTCTTAAATAAAATTCCAACTGCCAAGGGATCTTTTACGTGCACTCCAATGTGTACACAGGACCTTGGTTTTTCGCTGCATCCGAACGACTATTCATTTTTCCTTGCCAGGCCCTCTGTCCTGCACCACTGTGACAAGGGGGGAACAACGCCGAAAATACCTGATGAACTCCCGCGGCCAACGCAGGGATCAAACACAGGACCTCAAGGTTAGCTAGCCACCATCTCACCCACTAAGCCACTGTGGCTCAGAACAAACTAATTTGAATGAAATTTTCAAAATATACATGTATATATTTTGCAAATCTATTTTTGAGCTATTATAGCAAGAACGGCCAGCTCTTTATCTAAATCTTACATAATGTATCTTTAAATGTTTTGAGAGTGGTACTTTCGGGCATAGAAACTTTAAAGGAGCCCAATCGCTAATATCTGGGATCTAGAAATTGACCCAAATGGGTCGCAACGCATATAATAATGTAATCTGATTGTACATAAACTGATTTACATTCAATTGTTTCTGTTTTTACTCTTAATTTCAAATCAGTTGTATCCAGCGAAATACGGCATGTGTCTCAACCCTATAGCAATTTCTAGCGTCTGGTTATTCCAGTCTATTGAGCAGGCTCTCCAGTTGAATATGTCTAGCCTCGTTCTTTCTGGTCACTTTCACTTGTTGCAAATGACGCTAAAACGCACTACGGTACAGGATTCGTGTACCAATGGTAAAATGTTCATTTTGTCTTAAATATTGGATATCAGAAGCCTGCCTTTTCCTGGTAAGATCACAACATCAATGTTGATTTGAATTGAAAAATAATTCTTATTTTCAACCTGTAAGACTTTGGATGATATTGAGTTAGAGACTTAGCTACTTTAAACAATGTTCATGTTGAAACCCAATAACATTGGACTAGTGTATTAAAACTTGAAGTGAATATATTACCCATGTTCTTTATAATACGCTATTTCTTTAAAAGTGTGTACAATAGTATTAGGTCCCTATTAAAAATTGTGTAATATAGAACATGGTATATGTGTCTACAAAATGGAACATGGGTTGGGTGGTCCAATGGTCTTAATTGTGCTCTATAGATCATAAGGTTTGTCACATTACATATCATGTTATTGTGCACATTGTTATATAATACATGCATATCATTAAAGTATTAAGTATCTAACATTGATGTTGTGATCTTAACAGGAAAAGGTAGGCTTCCGATATCCAATCTTTAAGAAAAAATAAACATTTTACCATTGGAATACAAATCGTGTACCATAGTGCGTTTCAGCGTCATTTGTAACAAGTGACCAGAAAGAACGAGGCTAGGCATATTCCACAACTCATGTCAAACGGTGACGCCCTATCTCATCTGGAGAGCATGCACAATAGCCTGGAATAACCAGACGCTAGAAATTGCTATTCGGTTGAGACTCATGCCGTATTTCACTGGACATAACTGATTTGAAATTAGAGTCAAAACGGAAACAATTGAATGTACATGTAAATCAGTTTATATACAATCAGATAACATTATTATATATGTTGCGACCCACTTGGATCAATTTCTAGGTCCCAAATATTAGCGATTTAGCTCCTTTAAACATTATTGGTCTGTCAATCTCTCTTTTGCATGATCTGTATTATGTCCCTTGTGGACACTTGATTAGATAATAAAGTGCTTCTATCCCATATTGAGTACATGATAAGGAGTAAGGTACCTTACTAAACATGATTAACTGGGTTGTAACCTGTACACATAATCTGTTCATATGTTTAGGTTGGAGCTAATTTATAGTGTCTGCCTGACAAAGAACAATATTAGGTTTTGAAAAATGTGATTTTGCAAAAGAAGGATAACAGAAACCCTGTTTTTTGTCATTTACAGCAGGTTTCTGGATCAAGGCCACCAGCAGTAATGTATGCAGGTTTCCCTCTTGTTATGTGCACATGTACCCTACTGACTATAAATAAGTTTCTATTGTCAGAAATAATATTAATTCCTTGAGAATGTTCAATTTTGTTTTATGAAAGAAATTGTATAAATAAATTTCAACACTTGAAAAAATGTCCGCTTTTTCTTGTTCTAGACAAAGCTATTATTTTGGTTAACATTTCAGACTGATAGAATGGTTATAGAAGTACATGTAAGGCAACATGTATTATATAAATCACACCACCCAATAATCTGCCGATTTCACACTGTTAAAAAAAACATGTTATGCAATCTTAAAACAAAATGTGCACCAAATGTGGATGTTTGTTTTTAGAAAGTTATACTATCTAAATGCACCACTGTTTCTTGTGATTACTGACCCCTCCACATTGCTAGATGTATTAATAGAAATGACATATCAATTGGATTGGTAATAGAGCCTTTATTGCTAATTAATGAATTTGGAGAGCAATTTGACAGGTATGCATATCTGTCCATGTACCGATCGGGTACACACAAATGTAGCGTGGACTTGAGAATACAGGACAGGACAGCATAATGAAATAAACTTCAGATACCGGTATGTGTAATATGTAGGTCATAGAATTAAAGCCCAGGAACCAGACAAAACAGTTGTTCCCTGGAACTCCATCCACTAGCTACGGGGTGTTTCTTCTTACACTTGACATTTTGACAATTGAAATCAAGAAATACTCCAAGGTTGAGGCTCCCAGTAACAATGACTCTGAAAATTTGGACATGGTGAACTTTACTAACGATATTAAAACTATTTGATTAAATTCTTAAACATGTTTTTAAACAAAAAGTAAAAAGTTAAGCTTCTACACTATATTGATTTATGCTAGTAACTAAAAGCACTTGAAATAGGTTTATCATTGTTTTTCAATACATATGTAAATCAATTTTTTTTTTCAAAACATATGCACACATTCCTTGAAAGTTTAAAAGTGAATTGTCGAATTTAGTGACAAAATGTTCTAAATTACAATGAAAATAATAATAAGCATATCTCCTAAAAGTGTATTTGGTTTCATAATTTGTACTTGCAATATTCTCGAATAATGCCCATTGTTTATCTCTTGGTAATGTCGCATATTGTACAGAAACATTTATTTGGATCTTGCTAACTAATCTAAGAATCAGAGCTTACAACCATAGCATCTAAGAAATGTGGAGGTTTGTAAGATTCATTAAGTCTGTAGATGACCATAATATAGTACCGTGTATCTTTCAACTGGATACAAAGACAGGCCATAGGATGTATGTTTTATAAGTTAATATTAACATTGCTACTCCAGGACATAAATGACTTTATGATAGACATACACAGTGGTACTGGATACGTATCAAAATGTTATATTAATTGACAGACAGTTAAAACCATGAAAATGTAATCAATTTAGTGGCAGTGTGGTTTCTGTATCGGCACTATCATTCAATATGTCATGTCAATTTACATCTGGAAACCATTCTTGACAAAAAAAAATATAAATGGTTCCGCGGTCCATAACTAAACTATTCTATTTCTATTAAGAATTAAACATTTAATATGGACATATTATCAAGTACAGGTACATTAAATATGGACATATCAAGTACATGAGTAGGCCTATAATAAAACCAGTATGTTATATATATATATACACATAAACTTTGGAGGTCAGAAACTGTGTCACAATATGTGAAGAGCCGCTAAAAAAAAAAAAAGTTCTACCACACTTTTGAGGAGGCTAAAAAAGAGTTTACTTCGTCCGCTTATAAATTTTCAATAAATGAATAGAATTTTATTCAATTTCAATTTTTTTTAATGCTATATAATCATAATGCAACATCCAGTGATTGACACACCTTCGTTTGAAAGGTGTTTGGCAGGAATCGATTTAGAACCAGCCAAGGCCTACTTTTAGTTTAGAGTTTTATACCTTCACACAGTCAACTGGGTACATGACACAGTGTTCCATCACACCCGCTGCGGCTCCGGCCATCATGTGTGTCGACATAGTTGAAGTTTCCGGCAAGCTTTCATAGAGATCTTCATCTTCCATCCCGACATCGCACATTGCAAATACAAAGTCAAAATAAGTGTCAAAAAGAGTAATAATTAAACCACAAACACACTATGTTAGCACGTTCCTTATTCACGGAACACCGCCATGCTTCCACAAGCCCACATCATCCAGGCGGTTGCAATCAATCGTCGTTGAAGTGAAACGTCTGGATACGCACGAATTACATGACGTTTCACTTCCTACTAGGACGAGTCTATTTTTTGTGTAATTCCATAATAGGGGAAATGGGTTTTATTATCAAACACGAGAAACGTCACGTGTAAAAATGCAAGATCATGCTTACCGTACAGTTCATTTCATACAACGGTTGTGTAACGGTCTCAGTGACGTGGAAACAATGATAAATATATGAAGAGGTTATATTTATCACGCCGAATAACTTTGAAATTTAAAACATCTATTGAAAAATTATTTTGTAGACTAATTGCCGGGCTTACGTAACAGTGCATACCAACATTCCATGTATCTCACGTTTACACAACTTACACAATGCACGTACACTGTGCAAAACGTTATTTTTCATTCCATCGGTATTACAAGCCACGTTTTGATTTTAGTAATTCTTAGCTGTTATAAGTTTTAAAATAATATTAATTTCTTTCATCAATTATTAAAGAGGCAGACACGCATGTTTTCACTTCAGGACACAATCTGTAAATAGAATATTATTATGACGCAAGTCTATAATTACTGAAAGATAAGCTAAGTGGACAGTTTTATCAATACTCAATATCAGCCCTGTCGTAAAATAAATCAAATTTAGAAATGAGTAACGCTTAAAAGTATGAAAAGGGAAACTACACTATAGGCTTGGAGCCATGGTGGCTAAGCGTGTGAAGACGTTGGCTCGCTAACCTGGAAGTCTCGTGTTCGATCCCTGCATTGGTCGAGAAATTTCATCAGTGGTGCAGGGCAGTGGGCCTAGGAAGGGACAACGTATAGTCGTTAAGATAGGACGAAAAACGGAGGTCCCGTGTACACATTTGCGTGCACGTAAAAGATCCCCTGCTGTTGGAATTCGATACCATTTCATTTCATTCGATACCATTTCATTTCATTTTAGGCTATAAAATCCATCAGCATTTTAACATCAAAAATATATAGACCCACTTATAACCATTTAATTACCAGTAAAAGAATTTGTTTTGAAAAAATAGGCACGTTTTAAGGATTGTTAGTTTAAGATTGAGTGTGGTCGTAGATGCTTATTTGACTTCTGGTCTTGTAAATTTCCTCTTTAAAATGAATAGGCTAATGATACAGAATACACAGAGGTATTGAAATTATCGAATTTCATAAAACAAAGCTTCTGTTTGTGGTTTTCAGTTAACAAATTTTACCGAACAATCTAGGACGATGTGACATTTTGCGTGGCGAGACAACTTAAGAGAAGAATCTGTATGACCTTACTATACAAATATATATGGTTCATAAGCTATAGAAGGATATATTCCGAGTAGGGATATCAAAATTCTTTATTTTTCTATGAACAAGAACATACCACAGATTTACATGAAATATACAATTCTGGTATTTTTGTTAATGGAATTTGATGTAGTAATCTTCTAATCATGAAGTTTAAGCCCATTACAAAACATAACTCTGTTTATAAACCCTGTCTGTCCTATCTCTACAGAGCTTCCACAACATCTTCTGGCTAGCAGGGTAGTGGTCATTAAAGACGTTTGGACGGTAACTGAAAGGATAAGTTTTGACCTTAGATATACAGTTTCATTGTGCAGATTGTATACAAATCGGAGGCAAGTTTGTCTAGCGAGTCATCTCTATATATAAACGCTCTGTCAGTTACGAAACATTATGCAATTATTATTATTTTTTTTTATGGCGATTTTCAAGTTATTAGACCGAAATGAAATGGAGAACCTATACATCTGCACCAACCTGGCCAATGAAGAGAGGTATGTCTGTCACTGAGTCAAGTTGCTTGGTTTTGTAAGTCGTTTGCCCAACCTCGTAGGTTTTCCCCGTGTCGGAAGTTTTGACATTGACCGCGGTCTTTACTTATTTCAGTTTCCACTATCATGAAATCCAGGGGCGGATTAAGGGGCATATTCTGGCGCATGCCCCCTTTGCCTTACCGTAGCTGCAAAAATCTAATATCCTTTTTGCTAAACTCTATCGTAACTTAAAACATATTTATTTATGGTACAACATTTTCTTTTAGAACTAATTTAGAACTAATATTGGAGTCCCTTGCTGCAAGCAGCCCAGTCAGACCGCATTTTAAACCAGTCCTGATAGAAATTTCATCTTACTGCCAATGGCATACACGGGCCTCTCGGTTTTTCCGTTCCATCCTGACGACTCCACGTTTTTCTTTATCTGACCCTTCGTCCTGCACCATTGAATCAAGACTGGAAAATACCGAGAAATTATTATGGACAACACCTAAATCGATCCCGAGATTTCATGTAAACTGCCATGAGTGTGTCATACTCTTCATCAAATTCTTATGCGTGCACCTCGCCTGGAGGTCGGGTGTTCGATCCCTGCATTTGCCGAGAAAGTTCATCCAGACGGCGTGGTTCGCCACTTGTCAGTGATGCAGGACAGAGGGCCTGACAAGGACAGCTGCCTAGTCTTCGGAAAGGACGACAAACCGAGGTCCCTTGTACACATTGGCATGCACGTAAAAGATCCATTGACAATTGGAATTTGATATAAGAATAGGCCGTAGGGCCGCTGTCCGGGCAAAATTTCCCTCATAGCACACTGTATGGCGTATGCAGAACAGTAGGACGTTAAACTCCATTTCATTTCTTTTATTATACGTGCACGTCAACGTGTACTCAGGACTTAGGATTTTTTTCACACCCGAACTAGACACCATTCCTTACCGAACCCTCCTTTAGCACCACTTGAAAGGGAAAACCACAATGGAAAATTCGGGGGTACTTTTGCGGCCAACACACACCGGACCTCCTGGTTAGTGAGCCAGCGCCTTACTCGCTGAGCCAACGAGCCACGAAAGTTAATGCGAAATACTTCACTTTATAAGTAGATCACTGCTTTGATTTTCGGTAGTTAGGAAAGTTTATGGTTATTTCCGATATGATATCAATCAAGTTCTGGACTGTAGTACTTTGTTAAAAATTTAGTACATCATGCGAGTGATAATGCCTCTTTTTAAGGTGCGAAAGGGCCTCCCCTACCCAAGTTTCGTCGTTTAGACTGTTGTCTTTAATCAAGCACATGATAGAAAGTTATGAGATGAGATAAATTTAGACAAAATAAAATTTATTTAATCGTTGTTGATGTGGGTTTGTTGGTTAACTGATATTTTTAATAACCCAATTGATAACTGAACCGATTAAGAGAGAGAATATGGAGTTGAATCAGGGATGCTAATTTAATCATATGTGCGGTGGCCATGTTGATGCACCGTCAACTCAATATAACGGTTTCAGAACTGAATCATAAACATTGTCTTATATATAAGTAAAAAAAAAAATCTTCATAATTTTTCAGTTTTTATATAATTTTAAAAAAATATACAAGAAATTGTGATTTATTATCATGTGCTCTTGAAATACGCCATTTCAAATTTTATAATTAGCAACTGCTAAACATTAGTTCTTCACTTTCGATGCATTTATCATTTCACGTTAGTCTAATTTTTAAAAAATAATTTAAAACAATAACCTATAAATTTTAATAACATGAACCCGGAGAACGGACAAGACACTGGTTAAACAGCTCAATGGAGTTATTTCCCTTTAACTGTGAAGCACGTCTTCAAAAGAGCCGATTAGCAATTTATCAAATGAAATGAAATGCGGTTTAACATCCAAGTTTTCTGCCCCAGTCGGGTTCTTGAAAATGAACATTAGCCACACAGTGTGCTATTGTGATATACTGCCCAGGCAGCGGTGTTTCCGACAACTCTTCGTCGAATAGCATCCTGTCGAGGGTTCGGGGAATGTACGTCCCATCCGAACGACTAGACACTGTTCCTTGCCAAGCCCTCTGCCCTGCAAAACTGACAATTTTTGTAGAAATAAGCCAGAAGATCACATGGAACATTTTCCGCCAACACCTTACTCACTGAACCAATTTATCAAATGAAACAAGCCGTTATAGCCTAATCAATTCAACAATTGATAAATATCCAGACTCTTATTTGTGCGTTCATATCTTCCAGAGGACTGGACGATCATAACAATTTGCACGTGTTTCAATCCATAAATCGTAGACTTGCTGTATATTTTATGACATATACATTGCATTCATTCAGGACAGATCGACAGCTGGTTGAAAATGACAATACTTCACGTATTACTCAGAATGTCGAAGCGTAACCTACAGCTGTTGTTTTATATCGATTTATCGTAAGTTTTAAGTTGCCATGATTATTTTGATCAAGATCTGAGATCGAGTAAGTTTATATTTTATTTCTTAAATAAAGGCGCGAAAAAATTGACCTTACATAACACTGACATTTATGTTAAAATATTGTTTTAAAACGTTTGAAATCTTGATTTATGTACGTAGAATAATCAGTTTAAAACGGTTTTAATGTAATTTATCTAGTTTTGTGATGCGTCAGAGGTCTGAATCAGTTTTAATAAACTATTCTTTGAAGCTAGAGTAGGCATTACAAGAATAGCTGTATAGCCATCGGTAAAACGTTTGTTATTTGGATGAGGGAAATGAGGGGTTATTGACTGAAGTAAGTGGCTTATTTAGCTAAGAATGTAATTTCATATTTTATAGACAACTGAACTAAATGAATACTTTTTTTGTAAAAATTACGTTATTTATTGGACATGCTTAATGTCTGACTAGTTGCAGTGAAATTTTATTCCTTTCTCAAATGAATACTACCACACCATGTAATAATTTACTGCATTTTGTAACACAGCATTATCTTTGTTGTAATTTTGTATGTAACATTTTGTGTGTAGCATTCTATATCATGAAACATTTATCTAAATCGTTTAATGATCCACTGAATATGTAACATTTGACTCTGTAACACTTTACTGTACCATGTAACATTCTACTGTACAATGTAACATTTTAATGTACAATGTACATTTTACTGTACAATGTAACATTCTACTATACGCCACTACTATACCATGTTACATTCTATTTTGTACCATGTAACATTCTACCGTAAAATGTAGCATTCCACTGTAAATTGTAGCATTCCACTGTAAAACGTAGCATTGAAATAAACATTGTAACATTCTACTGTACCATGTAACATTCTACTGTGCCATATAACATTCTGCTATACCATGTACCATTCCACTAAACCATGTAACATTCTTCTGTGCCATGTAACATTCTACTATACCATGTAACATTCTACTATACCATGTAACATTCTAGTAAACCATGTACTGTATACAATGTCCTATTGTTGTGTACTGTAATGCCTGACAAGACAATTGTTCATGTTGGTTCTGATGGGATAACAGAAAAACATATAGGAACAGTTAGCAGTTGGAAACCCAAGAAAAGAAACAATACTTTCCAGGCCAGCAAAATTCTTATTGAATGCATTTTGCATTTAACCAAAAACTGAACAAATGTTAGTCTCTTTGTTTACAAGAAGTTAAAATACTTTCCTGACAAGTTTGCGTTTTTGAGCTGTATGATTTATTTGTGTATAGGATGGGTAATCAACCCATTCTATTATTCACAAACTTAAAACATAATGTAGATAACTCTAATGTCTATTTGCTGAAGGAGATGATATAAATTCATTTGTGTTTTCAGTAGAAAATAAAAACAAGAAGCTTTATATTTATGAAAATCTAGCAAATATATTTCAGCCTACACAGTGAAACAGACAGTTCTAAACAAACAAGTGATCTACAAAAGCAAATGTTTTCTGAATGGATACATGTATTTGATTAAAGTGCAGTATAATAGTGTAAATTTTTTCATCAAATTGTTGGAGTAAGTAATTTGTCATTTTAGTACACTCTTAAAGTCGCTTATCTCATTTGTGGAATGTTTAATTCCTTGCAAACTAGTTGAATTTCTAAAAATGGTTCAATTCTATTCTGTACTTACTACAAACGGCATCTCCTGCAGATGATATAAGCAAGCCAGCTTCACCTGTAAGTGTTGGCTAAAATCTTTTGATAGGTCTCTTTTTAATTCTATTGATATTTTGGCTTTGTTTTCTTCATTAAATGGAGGGCCTGACAAGGACAGTTGTCTAGTCGTGCGGATGGGACGAAACACCGAGGTCTCGTGTACACATTGGCGTGCACGTAAAAGATCCCTTGGCAGTTGGAATTCGATATAGGAGTAGGCCGTAGTGCCACTGCCCGGGCAAAATTTCCCTCATCGTGTATGGCGTATGCCCATCTTCCTTAGCCCAGTTTAGGAGCAGAACAGTAGGACCTTAAACCCCATTTCATTTCATTTCTTCATTAAATGTTAAAAAATCAATCTTAGTATATTTTAGCAAGTATTATTAAGCTGTGTAAACTTAGTTATTGGAAATAACCATCAGCTGCTTTAAAAGACGCTGATACATTACGGTCAAAGGAGTGGTGCAACTTGAACTTAGGTTTAAATAAAGTTTTGAGTGGGATGGGGTAAGCTCTATAATATTAAATGATCAATTTGCCTAGTAAGTCAGTCTGTGTCCTTTTGTTGTTTTTGTTTTTGAGTATAAATGGTCGAATCCCTTTGATCTGGATCAAAAATTAAATTTTTGATTTCATCGGATTTTATGGTTTTGTGGGATGAATATAAGCCAATGCTTGCATATAACTGATCATAATGTTTTGCTGTCAACACAGAAAGACACAATTGGAAATAAAGTAAGTCAAAACTTAAAAGAATTTCTATGTTTCTTCCTGCATTCGGCGCTTCTTTAAAAGTGTCATATTATTTGTTTGTGATTGAAAGGTTAAAGAGGTACTTCTAGAATGCATATTGAATATAATGTTGATATTGCTACCCATTTCACTCTTTGTTACAACAGTGTATTGATGTAATTCTACACAGTCAGAAAATATTTAAACCACACCTTTTGAACACCGTATAACAACAGTTTTCCTGAATTGACATAATAAATGTGTTAGAAGATATGTAAACTGGTATCATACATGTGCGTTACTTTACACGGGATCATGCGATTTGACAAACAAATGAAGGTAAAGTGATTGTATTACAGCTTACATGGGATGAGATAAGTTTTTTTTTGTATTTCTTGCCAAACTTAACAATTTTGTTGGCTTTAGAATGTTTTTAGATTGATGTAGGTGTACAATTTTGTCTGTTTCTGAAAACACCTGTGATAATTCTCTGAACTACCTGAACTTTTAAGAAGGGATTAGGTTTTTGATTGATTTAACAAACAAGATAAGTTGTTTGTTTACTAAATGTTGTCAGAAATTAAAGTCTGTCTAGTTAACAGTATTCATGACATCTTCTTTTGAACTGATTTATAGTTGTTGTTCCATAGAAATTATGAAAACAAAATTCTATGGTTGTTCATTAATTCAATTGTTCTGTCATAAAAGTTAGATTTTCTTGATTTATTTCAATAAGTTACCATGAAGAATTAGATATTTTCAAAAAAAAACATGACAATCAGAGGAGCCACGCTTGGTCTGTGGGTAGGATGTTGGCTCGCTAACCTGGAGGTCCCGTGTTCGATCCCTGCGTTAGCCGAGAAAGTTCATCAGGATTTTCCGGCATGGTTCCCCCATGTCAGTGTAGCACGACGGGTGGTCTGACAAGGGACAAGGTACAGTTGTTCGGATGGGAAGAAAAACAGAGGTCCCGTGTACATATTGGTGTGCACGTAAAAGAACCCTTGGCAGTTGGAATTCGATATAAGAGTAGACTATAGTGCCACTGTCCAGGAAAAATTTCCCTCATAGCACATTGTATGACATAAGACTGTCTTCATAAGATTAGTCGGAGCAGAACAGTAGGACTTTAAATCCCATTTCATTTCATGAGGCTCAGCCGCTTTAAAATATGTAAATTGTGGACAAGTTTATTTGTCAGGCCAGATGGTATTGTTAATATATATATGGTATATAATATAGCATGTCAGAATATATTGATCTCAGCATGTACATGCCAAGTATTGATTTATACAACTTTATAACAAGAAATTAAATTTAAGCTCTGGTGGTATTTTATATTATCATACATGGCCTGTTTTTCTCATTCAAGTATATGACTTCTTAGAAATGAAATTTTTCAATAAAATAAAACTAAATTAAACTTGACCTGCTCAAATGAACTAAAAAAACTTTATCAGTGTCTCAATTATGGGACTGGCAGGTGGTATATTTTAAAAGTATGAGGAGTCTTTAGGAGCGGGAGGAAGCCACAGTGTAAATAGAAAACCCACAAGGATAGACAGACAGTTGTCACAAACACTACTCTTTAGCTGTTTGAGACATACTTTCAAACCTTTCAATAGTGTGAATTAAAAAATTGGTATGAAAACCCCACTTTCATTGACTTATATCAAACCAAATTAACATGATTGTTACATTTCTAAACATAAAAATAAGTTTTGAATTGAATTAAAAACTTATGAGTGGATCTCACTGGAGCACTATGCCAAATATTACAATAGATCCCAGATATTTATGATATCATTGAAAGGAGAAATATTTTGACCTTAAGTATTACGAGGACACATGAGATTGAATTTAATAAGACAAGGTTTCATTGTTATGTTGTGATTGTATCAAAATGACAAAAACTGAATCCTGGATTTTTATGCAAGCAATGAGTGAACTGAATTTCTGATGACAAAGGAGAACATAAAGTGACTGAGAGGCACCTAGATCAGAACAGCCAATGATCTGTCTTTCCTTTTCTCTGAACTGATAAAACGTTATGTGATTATGTGATTTTTGAATCGTGGCAATTACTTAATTTATGCATATTTATTGATTAAAAATTTTATTTTATAGTTTTTTTTAAAACACTTAAAAAGTGTGATCTAAGCAATCATTTCTATAATTGTTTCTGATAAATATGATCTGAGTTATTTGAAGTCTTTCACTTTAACCTGTTGTTATTCATTTGTTTCCCACGGTGATCAGGAAATAGGCTCATCATTGCTTTAGTTTGCCTATTGTGACATTGTGCTTTGAAAATGTTTGGATGAAAACATGAAACTTATACATATTTATAAATGAAATCCTGAGCCAAAAACTGAAGAAATTTTGATCTATTAATTCACATATTAATCTTCATTTCTTCTCATTTCAGAACTGAATGTAAGAGATTCCAGAGCAGAATTTAAGAGGTTTCAGAACAGGGTTTACGAGATTTCAGTACACAATATAAGTGGTTTTAGAACAGGATTTCAGAACAGAATTTAAGAAGTGTAAAGTAGTGATTTCAGAACAAATGCTATTGGATAATAACCACTGAAAAAGCCATTTCAGAACAACTGCTTTCGGGAATAACTACTATCAACAATAACCACTAAAATCGGATTTTGATACAACTGCTGTCAAGAATAATCACTGAAAATCGGATTTGAGTACAGCAGTTGAGAATATCGAATAAAAAGGATCCATGTTGAAATTCAAAATGCAAAGAAGAACAGATAAACCTAAGCGACTTTCATCACATGACTTAAAACAAAGAGAGATAACTCGAAATTTCAATCATCTTGCGAAGCAGGTGTTGATTCCACTGGAACGAGAAGCGCTGCATAAATTTATTCGTAGATATCAGAGGAATCGTAATGTTTCTGAGTTATATCAGTCTATGGTTTTTATTCTCACGACTAATGAAAAACAACAGTTGTTTCCATACATACGATCTATGATACCGGAATCAGACCGCATTGAGTTTGATCATTATATGGCTTCGGATCAGAAAGTAAGGAGAGATTCTTATATTAAACTTAGTCCACCACCTACAAATCATGGAAATTTTCTACATCCAAGTTCAGCAGGTAAATATGTTTCTTATCTGATCCAGGTGAATTTGAAATTAAATAAGGAGTCGCGGTGGCTCAGTGAGTAATATGCTGACTCGCTAATCAGGAGGTCTCGGGTTTGCTCTCAGTGTTGGCCAAGAAAGTTGCTCGGGATTTTCTGGTGTGGTTTCCCCTTGTCAGTGGTGCAGAATGGAGGGCCTGACAAGAACAGTGCCTAGTTGTTCGAATGGGACAAAAACAAGGTCCTGTGTAGCACATGAGTAATAGGTTGATCCCTGGTATTTTAATATGTAAATAAATATTGTATTTTATAGCCAGAAAGAGTGCTCCAACATATCAACAGAATGTGAAAGTGATTATGTTAAAGAATGATAAATCATCAGAAACTCTAGGATTTAGTATACGAGGAGGATTGGAATATGGTTTAGGGATTTACATTAGTCAGGTTGATCCTTTATCAGCAGCAGGTAAGTTGTTTCATCTTACTAATATATACTGATATACAATGAAATTACACCACATAATTAACTAGATATGCTTGCGACATAATATAGCTGAAAAAGATATTGTAACAACCTTACTTTACTATGAAATGAAATGAAATCGTGTTTAACGTCCTACTGTTCTGCTCCTATACTGGGCTAATGAAGACAAGCATATGCCATACAGTGTGCTATGAGGGAAAATTTTGCCAAGGGATCTTTTACGGGCATTCCAATATATACACGGGACCTCGGTTTTTCGTCTCATCCGAAGGACTAGACAGCTGTGCTTGTGAGGCCCTCGGTCTTGCATCACTGACAAGGGGAAACCACGCCGAAAAATCTGGATGAATTTTTCTCGGCCAGTGCAGGGATCGAACACCCGACCTCCAGGCTAGCGAGCCAGCGTCTTACCCACTTAGCCACATGATCCCCACTTTACCATGAAACATAAGTATAAGGGGTAAAAACATCCAAAACAACCTTATTTTACAGTGAAACATAAGTATAAGGGGTAAAAACGTAAGAAACATGTGTGCCCACCTCTAGCTTCTGAATAGTTGCTTGTGGGAACCTCATCCTTACCCGCACCATATAATCATGATTTTCTACATTCACATTCTGAGAGAATTTAATTTTGTTTGTTTGATAGTATTAATATGTGGTGCGTTTATGCGATATTGGAAACATCATTCTCTCATTTTATGGTCTTGTTCTGATGTTACATTCAAAATTGCAGGATTAAAGTGTATCTCTCAAACAAGATTTACAATTATGCATTAATGAAAGTACATGGTTTTCACAATACAGATTGACAAAAATTTATAAATTGCAGGTGTTTTGACAGTAGAACATTGCTTGTCAAAGACAGGTGATGCTTCCTGGAATTCCTTTCTTAATTCCTGTCTATATTTATTTTAAAACTTATATATGAAATGCTCTAAATTATTTGATTTTATTGAATTTTCTAGTTCTGTCCATAAAATAAAGGTCGATCGCATAAACGTAAACAAAGGTAATTTTGTTTTGGTCTTATCATGGAAAAACATCCTTCATATAAAGTAACTGACAGTGACAAGACAAATTTCTTTTGAAAGATAGTAGAAAAAATCAAGATATGAATAACTAGTGGTGTTAAGAATATTACCAGTAGTAGATTATATTACATTTTATGATGAAGACGTGATTCATATTTTTAAGCATCATTCACTGTGGAGGTAACTTTAGTACATCAACTAAAGGAGACTTCCTGATTCATAAATAGATTTTATTGTTAATTTATTATTCTGAGAAAGAATATATATGTTCTAAAATAGTTACATAATTAGGATCTCTGATATTGAAGGGAATTTACCTTAAAGCTAGGTTCCCAGAAAAGTATTTATCGGGTGGTTATTTCCAATAAAAGTATGGCAATTTTGGTATATATGGAAAGTAGAAATATCCAATCTTACTAGAAAAATACTGGATTCCCTGAAAAACACTCATGGAGCGCATACAGGACAAAACTGTAAGGGTTTCCCTAATCGACAGCCCGACGATTAGGAGTGTCTGCACACGAGACGTCGAAGGTTGCACGCGGAGATTGAGCACTTGGTGTACATGTTGATAAACTTTATGAAGAGTCAGACGTACAACACTTTCTGAGATAAAAAGCATGGAAAAAGACACGGGGGTTGATAATACGACAATTTAATTAGGCTTCGATATTTGTAATAAATAGTCAGCGATAAAGACAACATCGTCTAGGATAAAGGATAAAGTTACCCTTATAACAGCTTAATAGTTTTTTTCTAGTCATTCATGCATATAAAAAAATAGTATACACTAAGCCAATCAGTAATATATCTTTTATGAGATACTCTTCCTCATGTATTCTCAAGGGAAAAAAATGAGGATTTCTCAATCCATTTTAACCATAGGATTACCAAACCAAGCCTAGTTTGTCATTTGTGGTGTTGATATACAGTAAATATGTCACTGCATCCATGTCAGATATATTTTATTAACTTAAGATTGTTAGGAAATTTTACACCCAAAAGATTAACTGTAAGGATCTACTCATTCTCTAAATAAACTCCTTTTTTTTAAAAAGAGAAAAAAAACCTGCGTACTATTTTAAAGTGTAATTCTCAGTTGTCAATTCCATTTTCATAGGCCGGTGCGCGATGTTGTTGAGTCCCAGGTAGTCGCGACTCTCGACTAAAATATCTCAGGTTTGCATTCTGGACTGGGCTGAGAAGACCCTTCAGGAATTTTCAAGTCTGGCATTGATGTCTTTGAGGCTGGCAAGGAAAGTGTGCCTAGCCATTCAGATGGCATGATAAATCAAGGTCCACCCATGTATGCATTGCCATGTCTGTAAAAGAACCCTAGACATCTCAACTTTAATAAAAGTAATATTTCAGTAAATTATCCATTTCTCATCATCAAATTTTGAAAATGCATTTCTGCATGTATAGTTTGTAAATACATTCACATTACCCTACTTCCATTGATAAAATCTGCCCAGTCTATTAAACAGTTCTTGCGTATGTCACTATATTTTTTTTAGTTAGTCAGAGCTGTATATTTATCATGGTGTTAACACACGATTGAAAAAAGATCATAATTCATGATCCTTGAGTCTGTTGAATAGAGAAGGTTTTGAAAGGAACAGGTTATTGTACTGTAGGGTAATTATACATGAGATCATTTCTTTATGGTTAAAAAAGGTGTGTTATATTAACATGCATGTATATAGGTTAATATCCCACTCTGATTATGCTACTTTCATTCATAGTTCTCTTCTACGCCAAAAGTTTTTTATTTTTTATTTGAATGGACAGTGATACTTCACTGGATACAGCTTGTGCTATAAGGCTAACTTTTGATATGGTCTTTATTTGTGTCAGAAGATCTGTGATAAAAAAATGTGTTAAAAACACTTTTAATTTGAAAGGATATTACTACTTCATTGGATACAACTTGTTCTAGAAGGTTACCTTAGGTATTTATTTCGTTAATTATCTAGATTGATGGTATAAAAAATGTGTTCTTTAAAATTTTTATTTTTATTTTTTTTATAAACAATATTTACTTCTAAATGTCATTTTAGGATCAAATTTTATTTCATTTAAAATTGGATTGAGGAACAGACTAGGCCTATATTGACCCCTCTCCAGTATTTGCACAAGTAAAATTGAATTAATGTACATGCAGAACAGAATATACGACAAAAACATATATACAACTTCTATTACTTGAGTTTATGTTTGGTTTTTTTTAAAATTGAATTTTAATGGATATTACTACTTCAATAGAAACAACTTGTGTTAGCAAGCTACCTGAGGTAGTTCTGGACTGGGGGCCATAGGCTCCTGATCCTGGCTATATGAGGGACCCTCAGACACTCCCGGGGTTGAGGGAGGCTCTCTCTCATTGTAGTAGAAAATTGTTAAAAAAACTGACTGTAAATGGTGCTTTGTGGAGAATATCCTGAGTACCAAACCTCTATGAATTATGCTTATGAATTCATCAAAACGACATAAATTAATAACTAATAAAAAGGGCCCCCAACCTTCTCTAGGGACTGCCGGGCCTACCATACAGGCAGGCTCCTTCTCAGATCATTGCTGAGGTATTTATTTCGTTAATTTTCTCAGGCTACGAGGTATTTAGTTTGTTCATCTTTTATGGTAAAGATTTGTGTCACTAGATCAAAGAGTGTTAAGATTCATATTACCTCGGTTTAATATATTTAAAAAAACAAAAAAAGCTGTGCATTAAATCTGTCTAGACTGTAGTCTCTATGCATATTGTATAGTTTGTTCAATTTATACTAATATATTTTTTAGATAAGATCTAGGAAAATAACTTTCATGATTTTTTTTTTGTATTCTCAGTTAAATGTATGAACTTTCATGATATAACTGTTCATTTGAGGATTTCACATAGCTGTCCCAAGTAAAATTTTTGTTATCCTATTTAATTTAGTTTGAATTTGAAAAGATATGGTTACTGTGTTAATTGCAAGTTAAAGTAGCTAAGTCTCTAACTAAATATCATCCAAAGTCTTCGACATTGAAAACACAAATTATTTGTCAATTTAAATCTTACCGGGAAAAGATGGGCTTCTGATATCCAATATTTAAGACAAAATAAACATTTTACCATTGGTACACGAATGCGAGGCTATACATATTCCACAAGTCATGTCAAACGGTGACACTATATTCTTATCTGGAGAGCATGCGCAATAAATACTATCGGTGTCGACTGGAATAACCAGACGCTAGAGATTGCCACTCGATTGAGATTTCTGGCGTATTTCGCTGAAAACAACTGATTTTAAATTAGCGTAAAAACGGAAACGATTGCATGTAAATCAGTTTATATACATTCATATTACATTATTATATGCGTTGCGACCCATTTGTGTCAATTTCTAGGTCCAAATATTAGCGATTTAGTTCCTTTAAGCTAGATTACCTAAGGTAGGCCTATATAATAACTATTTTTTTTTATCATACATGTAGCATATTTTAAAAAAACCCCAAAAACATTTTCCTTGGTAGGATAATTTTTTTTTAGAATAATAGTATATTGAACAATTTTGAAATAATCGAAGGAAAACTCTAATCTTTCGTGGATCATTGAAGCTTTAATGATTTTTTTTTTGATATTTCTAGTACTGTAGTATCGAACAATTTTAAAATATGTGCAGTAAAGATTCTAATCATTCATGGGTCTTGGAGGCTTAAATATGACTTTTTTACTATTTCTAGTATGATATATATGTATTTGCCAAAAGCTTTTACATTTTTTTATAAATAAGTATACAATCATTAGCTGTTATTATAAATGTGTTTGTGTGCGAGTAGTTTAAAGAATATAGACGACAACATCAGATAGGACTGTGTAGCTGATCTTTTAATATATACTATTCAAAAAAAGTAGGGGATATTTGATTTTTAAGTGTTATTAAAGTCACCTAATGAAACTGACGAAGAAACAAATGACAAAATGAAATGAAGTTCACATTCATCGATTTATTCCAAATGATCGTTAGACTAAGTAAGGCACAGACTGACCATTATAAGGGTAAAATGATACCCGAGGTCAAACAGCAAAGTTACCACAGCATCACAACCAAGTCAGTAACGGGTAAATCCTCCTCTGTTTGCCAAACAAGCATTTATCCGACGTGGCATACTCCTAACGAGACGTCTAAGGTCATTTTGGTCCAGATTGTCCCATTCCTGTTGCAACGCAGCAGCAAGTTCTTGGACATTGGCAGGACGTTGATGACGGTGACACAACATCTGTCCAAGCATGTCCCAGACATGCTTGATGGGGGAGAGGTCGGGACTCAGTGCTGGCCAAGGTAATGTGGTGATGTTCTGTTGTTGGAGGTAACCTGTAACGATCCTGGCCCTGTGACATCTTGCGTTGTCATCCTGGAAGATGAAACGGCGGCCATGACGTCGTGCGAACGGCACAACATGGACTGCCAAGATGTTGTCCCGGTAGTACTGGCCTGTAACACGCCCTGCAACAACATGTAAAGCCGTTCTTCCAGCAACAGTGATGCCTCCCCACACCATAACAGAGCCACCCCCAAATCGATCATGTCTGATGACGTTAACGTCTTAGAAGCGCTCGTTTCGACGACGCCACACCCTCCTACGTCTGTCCAAAAAATCAACAGTGAACCTTGACTCATCTGAAAACATCACATTGCTCCAGCGTCGATTATCCCAGTGTTGACGATCCCTACACCAACGACGTCTTGCCTGAATGTGATGATCTCTCAAACAAGGGATCACGCGAGGACGTCGGGCGCGAAGGTGACCCATATGCAGTCGATTCCGAATCGTCTGGCCACTCACTCTCACACCAGTGTCTGTTTGAAGACGAGCGCTGATCTGATTTGCTGTGATGACACGATTTCTCAAGGCCAAGGTACGGATAAATCGATCCTGGGCTTGAGTTGTCGCCCTTGGTCGACCTGAGCGTGGTCTGTCCTGTACAGATTGTGTATCACGGTATCTGGACCATAGCCTGCTTATGACAGACTGAGAAACATTCATCGTCCGCGCCACAACCGCCTGTGTTGTGCCGATCTGTAGCATGCCAAGGGCACGTAACCTTTCATTTTGGGTAAGCCGACGCATATCAAAATTTGTTTTCTGGTCACTTAAACAATTAAACTGATGTTTCCACCCTGGAATTCAATGCCACAATGACTGTAACATTCAAAGTCAGAGTCGTGCAAATCTTGGGTTGGACCCCCATGATGATCCCAAGCATCACCTGCATTCCATGCGGTAGCTATTGGTGCATTTGGGCGTCACATGTAACTGGAAATGTTTCTTCTGTTAGGTTCTATAGTGACTTTTTTCGTAGTCATTTGCATATTTTAGTATTATGCCCCCAAAATCAAATATCCCCTACTTTTTTTGAATAGTATAGTTGAATAATAGTTCTAGGAGAAGATAAATTTGTCAAGAAAAGATTGGCTAAATTGGGTGTGTTATTCATAAGTGTGTTTTACATTATTATTCCAATGTTGACAAAACATGATGTTTGTATTTTAAGGGATTTAATTTCTCTTTTACATTGATGTCCTGGTCAAGAGATGTACTAGTTATAGTGTTGTTTTAGTCTATTTTCTATTTTGTTTAAGACATTTATTTTGTGTAAGGTATTTATGTTTTTATTTTATCTAAGACATTTATGTTCTATTTTGTGTAAGACATACATGTTAAATTTTGTGTAAGACATACATGTTCTATTTTGTGTAAGATGTCAATTTTGTGCAAGACATCTACCAAGTATATTACTTTTTGTACAAGACATATATGTTCTACTTTGTATGATATTCTATTTTGTATAAGACATTTATGTTTTATTTTGTGTAAGACATCTATGTTCTATTTTGTGCAAGACATCTGTGTTCTATTTTGTGCAAGACATCCATGTTCTATTTTGTGCAAGATATCTATGTTTTATTTTGTGTAAGACATCTATGTCCTATTTTGTGCAAGATATCTATCTTTTATTTTGAATAAGACAGCTATGTTCTATTTTGTGCAAGATATCTATGTTTTAATTTGTGCAAGACATCTATGTTCTATTTTGTGTAAGTCTGGATGTTTTACTATAGAACATGTTGCATATTGTTGTAATATATACACACTGAACATAAAGCACATGATACTCAATAGTATAATATTTGATATTGAATTCATACTTTGTGTATTCTATTCAGTTGGTTTTCTTTACAAAAACTTTTGCAGGGATTGTATTTCTCAAGACAATAAACAGGTGATAATCTAGTTCACATCTATTGTAAGATTACGTGAAAAACAACATTTTCATAGGTTTATTAAAGAGTAAACATTGAGATATATTAATTTGACCAAACGTATTTAATGCTTATTTATTAGGTAGGGCTTTTTTCAAAAAGAAAGATATTGCTCTGAAAATTACTTATGTAATGTAAATATATTTTAATACTTTTATTATTGTACAAAGGATTTCCTACTAAGGTTAATACTGTGGTTATGTAGATAATATTTATAGTATTTTTACTTTGCGCATTATGTTTTTTTTTTGTATCTGTGTTGTGGAGTTCACCCACAGTGTCGAACAGAGATTTTTCAAGACAAGAGTATGGGAAAAGGAGTTTGACATTTTGTCAAGAAAATGCATCATTCATTTTGAGAGTAATATGATGTTGAGTTTTTTTCTAAGCTCACATTTACAGTACTTAGGAGAACAGGTTTGAGGTTTGACAGTGCAGTAGTGCTTCCAAACTGCCATTGTTTTTTGTACCTGCATGCCATAAAAATTGCCATTGTGTAAATGGATGGACTTCTGTTTTCAGTCCTCTCCAAACTCTTAAGCCAAATTTTCCATGTCAGCACTGGCTAAGTGAGGAAGACGATTGTTCACTAGTCGCTCCCTGTGTTGGTTGAGAAAGTTCATCAGGATTTTCCGGCATGGTTTCCCCTTGTCATATTGATGGTACAAAATATCGAGGTCCTGTGAACATACTGCCATGCACTTAAAAGATCTCTTGTTAGTTGGAATTCGATATAAGCGTATGCCCATCCTAATTAGCCCAGTTGGAGGAGAACAGTTAGGACGTTAAACCCCTTTTCATTTCATTTTATTTCAATATCAGACCTGCAATTGTTACTGTGACAATTAATTGGATTTGAAAAATCTCCAAGGTCAATCTCAGACCACAACACAGGAGTACAATAGGAGATGTTAAGTATTTAAATGGCTCCTATAACAAGAAGTGGTATGAGAATAATACTCCCGTCAAAAGTCAAAACCTAGTAACTCACTTTTCTATCAAAATTGAGTTAGGACCAAATTTGTAGTTACTAGGGTATGTGCTTCCTGTTGTTGTACTAGATAGCAACTTCCTTCATTTGCCTAGTATGCGACAGAAAAACCTAGTAACTCAATAGTCAAATCAATGGATAAGCTGGGGTTTAATAATATTCATTCATTACGTTTCCTTTGATTTCTCAAAATAAGAAAAATGTGAGTTACTAGGCGTTGCCTTTTGACGGGAGAATAGGTCTACCCTGTATAGTGCATTGCAATAATTGCATTATTTAAAAGACTTCCATATGAAAAGTGGTATCAGGTGGTACAGAATAGTAAGCATACCCTGCATTGTACATCACAGTCATTATACCCATCTCTATAGACTGTGATATCAGAATTATTTAATGAATTGTTTATATATAATTATTCACAGATGTTGCTGGATTAGAGGTAGGAGATCAGATATTAGAGGTTAATAATATAGATTTAAAGAATGTGGCATTAAGTGGTGCTGTAGGAGTTTTAACTGGTTCTAATAAACTTAAACTTGTAGTCAACAGAATGAGAAAGGTTCCTGAATGGAAGAAATCTAAAGAAACCACAATATGGTAAGCAATGTTTTTCGATTTTATAAACACATTGATCTAGAAGTACCATATTAAAACTAAGGGAAATATTTGTTGTGATCTTACACATTCAAGGATGTATTTCCATTAATATTAGCTGGAGCAAATATGTTGAATTGCGTTCACATTGCCAGGATTATAATTTGTGAAAGCTGATGAAATAGATTAGTCCGTCTTTTGGCAGAGAGAAGATGTCACATAATCTTGATCTTCAAAAGAACATTGTGCCTTCTAATGTGGATTAAGGAATCGATGCCATTCACATTGAGTTGCTACACAAAACTTTGGATCAAGATCCTAATCAACCTGGGTGGATTTGTTACCAGTATTCAAGAAGTGGTTCAACAATTTCCACATCTAAATCTTAATTGCTTTCAAACAAAGGGGTCACAGTGGCTAAGTGGGTAAGATGCTGGTTCGCTAGCCTGGAGGTCAGGTGTTCGATCCCTTCATTGGCCGAGAAAGTTCATCCAGATTTTCCGGCATTGTACCCCCTTGTCAGTGATGCAGGATGGAGGGCCTGACAAGGACAGTTGTCTAGTCATTCGGATGGGACGAAAAAACGAGGTCCTGTGTACACATTGGCGTGCACGTAAAAGTTGGAATTCAATATAAGAGTAGGCTGTAGTGCTGCTGTCCAGGCAAAATTTCCCTCATAGCACACTGTATGGTGTATGACTGTATGCCCATCTTCACTAGCCCAGTTCGGAACGGAACAGTAGGACATTAAACCCCATTTCATTTCATTTCATTTTGCTTTCAAACACATGTAGTTGTATCTCCTAAAATTACTATCAAGCTGACAGAATGATTCTAATTTATCAAAAGTTGAATTATTGGAAGACAATCAGAAAAGTAAAAGAGCGTCTAAAATTGTTATTTGACGTACATCTATTTTGTTTTATCTTAATCCACATCAAATTGTGCTCACATTGATTACTTGGATTCAATCGGATTAAGAAGAGGCCCATCAAGAGATTTTAACCAACATTGATACGTGGCATTGGCTTGTTTATATCGCCTGTAGAAGATGCCTCTTCTTGCCAAATTTTCAATTCGTCATATCTCTATGATATAGATGCTTAATGGAATCAGACAATTTTGGGGATTGATATTCATTATGAAAGATAGCATGTGTATATAGCATGTATTTTACACAAATCTTCTTATTGTTAACCTCATTCACTGTCGCCCCCAAGAGATATTGTTGGTCATCATATTATACCCTGCATAATGAGTATGAGAAAAAAAATTGTTCATACACATAACTGTTATGATATAGTAAACACCCAATTATTATATTAGACATATTAAAGCTGGAGTACTTTATACTGTATGACATTATGATCTATATATTTCCACTTGATTTATTAATAGCCTATTATATTCTTACCGTTATATGTAGTACATCTATTTTACCTCGACCATGATCTTTCTACAAAGATATTCAATATAAATAATTTGTCGTCTATCCTATAATTTATGAAATTACAAACTATATTAATGATATTACTATGAACTTTATGACTAAGGGTCATGTTACAAACGTCTTTGTGACAAACAATCCCGAAGATATTAAACAGATTTATAAATCAGAATGGGAATACCACATTCAGATTTGTAAGTTTTTTATTTCATTTACGATGTTTATTAGTTTTACAAATTTATTACTTGATCATGATGTTATTGCAATGATATAATGATGCCGTTACCACAATTTATTCAGGTTGATTGAACATGAATTTTATTTTCTATAGTATTTTAATTGGAGATAACTTCTATTCGAATTTCTTTATAAACAAATTCCTCAAAGTTTATTTGAATGAACAATTATTTGAGTTTTCTTCCAAAAGTTGAATAGGTGCCAATGTAAAAGATCTTTCTGAATGTTTTCAAAGTAAGGTTTAAAGAATTAATGCTTGCTTAAAGTTAAGACATCTGAAGGAGATCTCTTAAAGACATACTTCTTTGACAATTGAGATCCTGAATATCACCAAATATATTCAAACTACTGGGAAAAACACATTTGTTGCCAAATATAATATATACATAAGGAGATACTTGAAGAAAAGCACAGTTTAAAGAGGCTGCCATTTTGAATAATAAATTGACAAACGAGAGGAAAAGGAAGGAATGGGACTTAACATCCACTCCCCAAAATTCTGGGACTAACTTATGGTATCAGAGTTTGCTTGTGCACATGGGGTCTTTATACTGGGAGGAAACTGGAGAACCCTACTTTTTGTCACATACCCCCTTAATTATAAGAAAGTGAATGGGTCAGTGCTGTCACACAGGCACAATTGCCAGGATATGAGTCATTACACTTCACATTGTAAACAATTTTTTTTTAACTGATTGTGCAAATTTCAATCAGAAATATCATACTTTAAAATATATCTTTTGTGGGTCAAACAGATGACTTAATTCTTCTTGAAGGAAGATATGGGTACTATAAGTCAATTTCTATTTGTAGGTTTGATGTAAGAAAGAAGAAGATGGTACCGCTGCCATCAGATGAAAGGATGATGGACAATCAAACAATCCGAGAAAGACTAGTTGTGTTGCGCGTGTTGAAATCATCAGATTTTATTGGTATGAATATACGAGGTGGGAACGAATATAATCTAGGAATATATGTATCTAGGTAAGTTATTTATCAAATTTGGGCCAGTTTGAAATCTCCATAATTAATCTGTATCATAAAACTAGATAGAAGATACCATTTGAGATTACTTAATGAAATCTTGTTATAACTTTGGGAGTATGTTTTGTTGCCTGGCAACTCATATTTATGACTTTTAGATATAAATTTTGGGGGTTGGTCCAAAGGATATAGAACAGTTTGCGGAGGTTATTGCAGTGGTGCGATATATATGTTGCATAGATTTCATATTTGTATTGCATATATTTCATAGTCTTCATTAGCCCATTCGGTGGAGAAAAGTAGGACGTTAAACCCTATTTCATTTCATTTCATTTTTCAGGTTAGATCAAGGAGGATTAGCAGAGAAAAATGGCATATGTTTAGGAGATCAGATTGTTGCGGTAAATGGAACAACTTTTGAGAATGTGAATCACACATCAGCAGTTGAGTTTCTGAGAGCTCACAAAACATTAAAACTCACCTTAAAGGTAATGGAATTTTTTTTTTATTTATTTGATAAAATGCGGTAGAACCATTCTATGAATACAGCATAATAGTGAAGCTTATGATTGTAATTTATCATGGTTCAAGTTATTCAAATGTATATAAAATATATAGATACAAAATTCTTTAAATAACATCTAGAAGAAGGATTTATAGATTCCCAGCAAAAAAAAAGCCAAACCCAAAAAAACACACAATATATGTGTGGATATACTACTTGTTTGTTGTTTTTAAAATAACATTGTTTTGTAACACTTGAAAACATCCTTGAAAAGTTACTAAATTTTGTTATTTAATAACAGAAGTTGGGTTTGTATTTTTTTTCTATTATGAATGGATAAAGATATAGACAGATTGTTATTTCCAACAGTTTGAATGTATGCATGGGCGTCACACATAGTGGGGTCCGGGGGGGATCCGACCCCCCCCCCAATTGTTTTTCTGGGGAGATCTGAATATACTTGGACCCCCCAAAAAATTTACATAGTAGGCCCTAACTCCTATTTATTTACAACAATTATTAGGATTAGTTAAGATTCTATCTGTATAAAACAATGTACAAATTAAAACACAAACACTTATGTTTACTTTTTGAAATCCATTTATAATACACAAAATGTACAAAATACTTTAAATATCTATACAACTTTCTTGTAAATGTCAATTTTCGGACCCCCCCCTATATATATTTCACGGCTATGCCTCTGAATGTATATGAATTTGAATAATGGTTATATGTATTATTGTAGGCTGTAGGTAGATATCCTGCTTATAAAGAAGTTTATCAGGAATATACATGGAGTGAGAGCATGGGTCGTCTAGATAGACCACCTCCAGGTAATAATCAATCTGATTAAAACACAGACCCTATTTCGTTTCGTTTTTTATATTTCAAAATTTCGTTTTACTTGTCTTTACTACACTAGGTAGGGTGACCCATGTACTTACAGAAATAAAGTCCACCGCTGATAGTTCGAGACTACCACTGAAGCGTGCACATTCGCCGTGCCGAGACCAACTTTCTGACAGTATGATACTATAAATAGCCATGGCACGTGCAATTCTCTACAAATCTATCAACTATTACAGCCGTAAAAAATTTATTGTTGACGATTTTGAATAGCAGTGAAATTAAGCTTCTTGGTTATTACAGCAGATTTAGAAATTACGTTCGTTTCATTTTTTAAATCGCTTTATCATTAACTGTACCGTTAAGAGCGGCATCTTTTGGTTTAGTACAAATAATATCTCTGAATCCTCAGGTTAGACAGGAACATGATACTAGCAGTAGTTTCATTTTACTTTTACAAGGTTCTTTTAAACGATTGTTGAGCTACCTAACGTGCTTATTTCTAAATTCAATTTCTTGTTCTAGCTTTCTGTTATGTTTCGTAAAAAAGTAGTCTTGATTATCCCGACCTGTCAATCAGACGTAGAATGGTCGATAGACTGGTTAAGCGAGACTAATTTCAAAACAAGGGCACGTAACCTATCTTTTACTCAAAAGTGTCTGGATGTTATGGACGACGCTTGGAACCAGTTTTCAGTCTATTATTTATAAATGATTAATGGTCATAGCTTATTAAGTACAACATGATCGTTTATTTGGTGACTATAATTGTGTGAAACTGATTTGAGGTTTGGCATATATATAAATATTGTGGCGTAATTGTCGAGATATATGGAGATATTTATTTATGGTGGGTCACCCTACACTAGGATTTGGAAGAGTTGTTATCATTGACATGTTTTGGATGGTGTTAGGGATTAGCCAATGAAACGATCTGTTAAGGCGAGGTTTAGGCATGTTTTGCACTGAACTGTGGGTAATCCATTAGAAACATCAACGCTGGTTGGTTAATCAAATGTCTGACGTCATAGGGTCAAAAGCCGCTAGTATGACCTTTGACGTGATCAGATCTTCATGTAGTGTAGGCCATAGTAAGTATAAAAAACCGAAACGAAATATAGATCTGTATTTTAATCAGTTTGTGTAATAATATTCTATTAACTTCCTTTTTGAAGTAGGTGTAATCCCTTATTATCTCACCGCAGAATTAATATATTTCAATTGGGTCATATATGTCTCCAAAATTGATTGAGCTATATCTACTTGTAAATTGATCCCTGATTGTATAACTGTAAAAAACAATATCTGTGTTGCTGATTTATGATTTGATAAATCACATATTTTTACGGGAGTACTCCTACTTAAAGTATTTACACAAATTCAAATCGCAAGGTTTCACATTGCACCACCATTAGTTTTGCTTTGCACATCAGTTTCAAAAGCACCTCTTATTAGTTTCACATTGCACCTTTATTAGTTTCCCATTGCACATTGACATACCACGTTGTACCTCAATTAGATGTTCACTTCACACCTTGTATGGGGTAAGAATATGTATTATCTTTACAGACGACTCCACCCACCTTTATATACAACTTTCAGCACAGTATTCACATTTCTTTTGTAGTGTTTATTTTTTCCCTTATTCACATTTCGCTATATGTTTATTCACTTTTTACACTGTAAATCATACTTCATGTTACTACATGGCATCTTAAAAAAAAAAATTATCTTTAAAATATTTTCACTCAGTATTCTTGAACATTGTCTGTTCTCTTTTCTCAGCATAACAATTTGTCTTATTGGTAAATCCTTTGACTTTGATAATTTTGTATTTATTAACTCTGCTGACGGACATCAGTGTTAACTTTTTGACAGCTTAAATGTTTTATTTCTCAGAAAACAGATTAACAGTCAATGAAACACCGATTAACAGTCGTTTCTCACTCAGACAGCAAGAATCACCTCAGATTCAGAGAAACCATTATATTCAAAATTCTACACATCAAGGGAGGTTATCCTTACAGAAGGAAGTTCTCCTTCCTAGAAAACATGATATTACATATTCAGCTCCATACGAAGATGCTTGGACATCTTCTGGCTTTGGTGATGAAGAACATAATGGCAGTTCAGAAACTTTTACGAATAGCAATGGCCGACATGCTCAGAATGGATTTAACACCGATTACACAGAGAGTGATTCAGGACAAGACGATTATACAACTTTCTTAGAACGTAAAGCAAAGCAGGACAATGAGAAATCTTATTCAAGGGAGGCAACCCTTCGAGCACGACATCACCCAGAACATAAATTAAAACTTGAAGAAATGTCTACAAGTTTTAGTTCTCCACAGTTAAACATAGCAGAAGATGGTACAGTGCGGACGTACATTTTACCAGATCAGCATCGGACACTTCATCAAAGTCAACCTGATATACAAATTACACAACCTACCGAAGAATATGCTCCGGTTCTTCGTAGACCAAAGTCTTCCAAAAACAAAGGAATTATGTATGTCCAGAATCATGATCAACCTGGAAACTATGCAAGTCCAATTTATGCAGCGGTGCAAAAGAAAAATCCGAAACCAATTGAAGAAGCGCATCAACCATACAGACAGCAAATGTCCAAAAGTACTCCCTCACTAGTCGTGAAAAAACCACAGCCGAGGGTTTATTCTGCGTATGACGATTTCCACATGTATAATCGTTCTCAGCGTCTAGAACATTCTCGGGTTGAGGATCCAGAGACTGACTATGACGTGGACAGTAGTGAGGCTGTGGTAGTTTTTAGTGAGAATGACAACGATGACCCGAAACATTCGTCTAATGTTTATAGTACTATAGAAGAAGTCCCTCATATGAATATAGAGGATGCTCATTTATCTGACGACGACGAATTTGAAAGCTCTAATGTAGAAAATAGAATTTTATTATTGGAGAACAGAAAATCAAATCTTGGATCTTGTGAAATAAGTCGAATGGCAGACGAACCTACATTAAATGGTGCTAGTAAGTATAAAACTATTTTAGATTATTTTTGATTATTTGACCCCTTTTTAAACTTTTCAATTTTTTATCCCAAATTTATTATTGATTCCCTTTTTAAGTGCACAATTCTATTATGCAAGATAAGTTATGTAAGATTTAGAAAAAGAGTTGGCCGTTCTCACTATAATAGTTCAAAAAAAGATAATGCAAAATGAATATATTGAAAATTTCATTCAAATTACTTGATTCTGAGCTAAGTTTTCACCGTTTGAGGTTTTGACAAAATATGGCATAGATTGGTTATTATAGAAATACTTGTTATTCGAGACTTAGTCTTAGTTTAAATTGCCATTTTAAAATTAAATCATTAAATGGCGAATCGTGTTTTTATCCATTTAAAACTCTGCCATCCAATGGAGAGTTGATTATGGATGCATCATGTGAATAAATGTCTAAATGATAGTTTATATAACATTTGAAGCTTAATTTGGCAGATTTAGCTCTTACATAATGCATCTTTAAGAGTCAGTTTTTATAAGAATCAGGCATTAGGGGTGATCGGTGCGTCTCCAGATTTGTCTGAAGAAGTGTGAATTAAGATGATTTTCTCAGTATTTTAGTTTGGTATAATCTAAATGAAATGGGAATGTTTTCTTCAACAAGTTTTCCACAAATGTTTATTTTGCCGATATATTCCAAAATTGTATTGTTGGAACAAGAAATTGGGCTCTTAAAAATATATGTTATTGTAAATTTGGGTTATTTTGAAAACACTGTTACTAAAATAAATTTAATTTTTAATTGGGACATCTTGGATCCTGATAATTTGCCAGATATTTATGATTATAGTGTGTCCTCTGTGCAATGTAGTGAGTTAGTGGGAACATGTGTTTTAAATTGATAGCCTGACTTTTCAGTCACAGAGGTCCTATAATAGAAGCTAACTGGTTAGCCTAAATATCTTACATTACATTTCTCTACCTTCTCCCCTGATTTTTCACTCGATACTATCACAAAGAGCACTATTTTATTATTATATTCACTGCCATATATTTTTTCCTTTTATTCCACCCTTCAGTTTCAAGTCCTCCTCCTAGCACTAGAAAAAATAGCAATGGTGCATGGGCGACCATTAAGAAAAAATTGAAAGGAACAGAAAAGGGGAAAAGTTAGTCTTTTTTATATTTAATATTAATATGCACAAACTTTTTTACATATTTAAAATTAAGATTCATTAAAGTATTAAAAACTGTTGTTATCCCTTCACTCCTAAAGAGCACTTTGTTATATGAATTAATTTGATGTGTCAAAGCGCACTAAAGGGAGATAACTCCATATTGACATTTCAAATGGAATGAATAAATTTAAACATTAAACCTTCTTTCTAGATGCATTTTAAGAGTACTGGTAGATTGATTTTAACTTACAAATGTTAAATCTTTAATCAAAAAGTCTGATTTGTGGATATTTTTTACAATACATTCTTTACCTTTTTTTGTTTTGTTTTTTTTTTTCAGAAAAGAAGAAAGAAATAGAGGATGGTAAGTGCCAATATTAATGATATAATGCTGTACAGAAAAAAACACTTCTAGATGTATATGTGAAGCTAATGTATAGAGAAGTGTTCTTTCTGAAATTATCATACCTGAAATTCTACTACGGTATATTGGATTTTGGATGACATAAAAGGAAGAATACCGGTACTCCCAAAGAAAACAACAGTCTGAATTTAACGCTTTAGCTCTGGAGCTGCCCGAAACTGCCCTAATTAGAACTCCCTAGACCACCAGAGTTACGTGTATAGCTGTGTTCAATAATTTTATGTTTTATTATTATTATTATTATTATTACAGCATATTTATAGTACGCCCTTTCATATAACATGTTCAGGGGCACTTTACAAAATGACAATGTAATCATATAAAAAAAACAACAAGATTATGGACACGTTAACAGTTGTATATACAGTCAGTTAAAAGCTTGTTTAAATCAATGTGTTTTAAGCTGTTTTATTTTAAAAGAATATAGAGATGTGCAACATCTTAAACTAAATGGTAGATTATTCCCTAAAGCTGGGGCGTGAAAACTACAAGAGAGCACTGACCATAAGAGACAAATTGAAGAGTTTTGAGCTTTAAAAGTAGTTTATCTGATGTATGTAATGTTTCAGCTCCTAGAAGCGTATCTAAGAAGCGTGGAATGTTTGAACAAAGTTTTGGTTCTCAGGTTGTGAACAATCATTGTGTGGATAATTACAATATGATGATGATGGAAGAACATGCTAGAAATCTGCTTAATGAAGATGAATGTGCTGCCGTTATCAGACATGTTAAAAATTATCATGAGCAGAAAAACTTGGAGAGATTAACAGAAGCCCTACTTCAGATTCTTGATACATCGGAAAAACTACAACTGCTTAAAGATATCAGGTTAGTGCCAAAAGATAACAATTTTTTCATTCCAAAATAATATATTCGTAGTTAATAATATATGTGTGAGCCTTTTGTGGTCAGACTTGTCTGTATGTCAATCCAGCAGTCCACAATTCTGGATTTGTTTTTCAGGTAAAAAGAAAGAACATGGGCACAATTCCATCAGTTTGCTGTGAAAATAACTTATTGTGTGTGTCCAAAGCCACAGGAGCCTGGCCAATATATGTCAGTTTTTACACTGGTTTATTTGGCCGATCAACGTGTTCAGACGACAAAGTTATACTGACTTAACTAGCGCAGCATTTTTAACTAGTTTAGCTTAAAGCAAAATTATGGAAGATTAGATAAAGAGCTGCCAGTTCTCGCTAAAATAGTTACCAAATAGATAACTTCACTCTAAGCCGAGAAATCCTCTTTTTAATAACACTGTAGCCTCAATTGTCATTGTTACAGTTGTTACAATAATAAACAAAGACTTGTTTATCCATTTTTATGGTTATTCATAAACAGCTGTTGAACTGCAGATCGAATTCAAATCTCTGGAAAATTGAACCCATCAGATGGCATCGAGAGTTGATGGTCTTGTCATGTTAATAAATATCTAATTAATAGTTTATATAACATTTCAGGCCAAAAGAAAGACCCGTGATAGGCAAATTTAGCTCTTGCAAAATGCATGTTTAAGTATTTGAATGACATATAAAATGCTATAAATTATCTGAGATATTAAAATTTTGGAATAAATATTTCAGAGGAGTTATCTACCCTTACCATATTGCATTATTTGATACAAGAGTGAACATCTATGAGATACAAGAATATGAACGAATGTCTACAAAATTACACCTGCCACTTCATCACAACCACAAACAAATATCTAAACCACAGAAAAACTTAATGACCACTGTTATAGGTAGGGGTTTTTCATAAAAATTCTTTTAAAGCCAATTTTTTTTTATATTTCAATTTTATATATTTTCCCAAATCTTCGGTAAATGTCAAACTTTGTTTCAATCTGATCAAAATACAGATACTATTGTGTTTCGTTGTTTATAATTCAAATTTTGTTTTATTTTGTAGGGTCTTAAACTGTTTGTAAATAAAATGCATTATGTTTGGTTGGGGGTGGGGGGGATTAAATCAGATCTATATAATATCGAAAGTGCAGTAAAATGAAAGAAAATTTAGATCTGTATTTTAATCAGATTGGACTTTTTTTTATATTGAATTAATATTACTTGTGTGTTTTTTCACTAGACTTCCATTTTAAACCATTACCCAACCCCAACACAGTTGTTCCCCTTTATTCTGTTTAAATTAACAGTACTTACTTACTGTAATATTGGGCTTGAAATCAGCACAGTAAGGTTTTGGTATGGTGATCTTTATTTCAGATGAAGAAAATAACTATAAACATGCCCCAGGACCTTTTCGCTTGAAAAGATGTATACATTGTACATCGCTTGCGGTGTTAGGTGGCTGAGTGGTTTAACGTGTGTGCCTCGGATCATTTAGTCTGTCATTGAGTCAAGGGGTGTGGTTTCGATTCCCCGCTTGTACGTGACAAGGAGTAGGATCGCTACTCCATTAAATTCCATTCCCCTCTCTCTCTCTTGCAATTTTAGTGACTTTTTTGTGTTTTATCCACAGGTTTGTCTTAAGGTTTGGTTTGCTGTCGTCCTACATTTCCTATTAGGAAGGGAGGGTTGACTTTGCCGATTGCAATTTAACTTCCAGGTGTATTCTAGAAAACATAATTAACCTCAATAACATGAATAAATTCTGTAGGGAACATACAAATTGATTTGTATGAAGTTGGTACAAATTACAGGTATGAGAAAGTTTTGGATAGCTTTTGTATGTAACTCTCATATTGGTTAACTTTAATTTGGTATAGGTTATAAGTCATAGATAGTTTTGTGTGGACAACATAATTTTTTTAAGATCTTACAGATGATGGTGGTCACTTTCATATTAAAACTGTTGACCAACATAAACGAGACATCGATCATGAGAAGGAAGTCATTCATGAGCTGAAGTCAAGTCAAAATTTAAGCTCGGATTCAGACTCAGATAGTGGAAAAGAACAAGTATATGATTTCACAAGGCAAGGTAACAGGTACTATATGTATTCAGGAGGTTTTTTTACTGATTTTTGTTTCTTTTTTTTGTCTTTTTTATTCATTTTCTTTTCCTTTTATTCCTCTGAATTCATTTTTACCTTTTTATCACTTTTTTAAATCTTATGAAAATTATCATATTTATTTTCTAAACCTTTTTAAATCATTTTTTAAAAAAAGTATTATTCTTTTTTATATTTTTTTCTAATATCTGATTTTATAATCATTTTTCAAGAATGATTTTACAAACTTTTCTAATCTTTTTCTTAAATAAAATTTACTACATTGAGATGTATATTCGATAAATATAATTATCATAATATTGTCCGTTGTGTGTAAGTTGTATTGTGAATTACAGTTTTCTTATGAAGAAAGATGTTCATACAACAATTTCATGACAGTGTCTTAGACTAAGCTAAATTTGAACACCAATGTTGGATATTGTATATAAATCCCAGGGGCAGATGAGCATTCTGAATGGTAGGATCTCAGTTCTGGGCCCATGATCAGCATCAGGAGTGTAACAGGTGTCAGTGATTATTAATTTTCAGGTAGACTTTCAAAAATGACTTGAATATTCAAATAATTTGGAATTTATTCTTCAGATCCGGTAAGAAGAGACAATTCTGAAGATAGTATAATTGTTTATATTTCGAAACAAAAATTACATTTAGGTGAGTTCAAGGATATGAAAGATTTTGAAAATATATGATCTTTTGAATTAATTGGTAAAGATAACTTTAGATAATTATGATGTGAATACAAATAATTTATATTCATTGTTGAATAAACAAATGTTTAATTTTTTGGGTTGAATTTATCAAAAATTACTTCTCTCAAGCACATTAGTATTTTATTCACACAACAACCAATGGTGTTTTTTTTTTAAAGGTTTATTATTAACGGGTGGTGAAGGGGAATACCCTTCTCCTGTTAGAGTAGATAGAATTTTACCTACAGGGGCTGCAGCAGATGATGCCAATATACAGGTAGGTCAATAGTAAATTGGGAACTGTCTTAAAAAAAATGAAAATTATTTTATTCTTAGCTTGTAAGGGAAATAACTCTGTATGTGTAACTCTTTCATTTGGTCGCGGACTAGTAATTTTTGCCATTGACTTCAATGTTAAATGGCTGTAACATCACAGGCTGTAGCTTTTTGCTCAACATTCTGTTGGTTCCAATCTTTATAGGCATAATGGGGACCACATTTGGCAATATCCTCATCATAATTTTGTAGGGGGTTGACCGCTTAGATTTTTTACTACAGGGTTTTGATGTTGACTGGGGTGAAAATCTCACTTCCGACACAATGATTGCTCTGCAGAAAGACACTTTACACCCCCTATCCCTCCGCTGTAATATCATCAGTATTACCCAAAACTGCTATGGAATTGCAAATTTGATCCCTTTTCTCCAATTCTAAACCAAAAAGTCAACCCAAAAATGCAGGAAGAGGGGAGAAAAAATTTAAGGTAAAAATTGTCTTTTTATAACTTGAACTACATTCGTCCATCATGAGATAAGGGGAAATAATTACTAGTCTGAGTCCTATATACCTGACATGTTGGTGCTGTCTGAACAGATCTGTTGTTATCTAATAAACAAACATATATGCAATGCTCTGGCAAAAGATTATGAAAATCCATGCATTTTCAGATGAGCAGTGTGGCATTCTGAAAACACTATAATACATCAGAAAACTGCGGAGTTTCAGACAGAAATATAAAAGCTCATGAATTTTGAATTCCGCACAACATTTTTATTTTTGAACATAAATGCATTCTGTAAAAAGATGAGATAAATTCAATATAAATCAAACACGAACATACTTTAAAACAGTAATCATGATGCAATATTAGACTTTTTAACACTTTCATCGAAAACCACACAATTTTTCTCTGTTAACGTAGTTTCAAGTGCCAAATTGTGGTCAAATCTAAGATATTGAAACATGCAGTGCCTATGAATTTTAAAATATCTCCTATATAGCTATATTTCCATAGGATAAGTAAGTTGAAATAATCTGATTTTGTAACACCCAGTATGGAATCTGATAATTTAAAAGCACATGAATTTTTAATTCCACAGTATTTTCAGTTATTTAAGAGTTTATCAAAATTTTCTGTTAACCTTAAAATGTTTTCTCCTTTTCAGCCTGGTATGATTCTATTATCTGTAGATGATCAAAGTTTAAAGTTCAAGTCGTTAAATCAAGTTCAAGCTGCTTTAAAGAAATCTTATAATAATAAACGTAGTGTGGCCATGAAATTAGTTCTTAAACCTATTATACGATATTAATCTTTATCAAGGCATTTATTTACTTATCATTATACTTAAATATCTCAAAGAATTCATACAAAATTTATACTTACTTAGTTATCAATATGTTTAATATTTTAATTGTTTCTTTCATTATTTTTTATCCCATTAAATATTTGTGAAAGAAAATCACCCATCAGTTATGTTATATAAATTAATAAGATAATGTTTTTTTTTTAAATTTGTGTTATTGGTAATTATAATGTTTAACGAAAATGTAGAAGAAATAGTTTTAAATAATGTGATATTTAGATCTTGATTTATGAAGGTGCTAAATGTTTGGCATTTAATATTTGAGACTAGAATATATAAGATACAGAAATTAATATAGCCGCTCGTCATTTTAATGATTTTTAATCCCTTACAATATTGTGAAAGTTGAAATTTATGATGAAATGAACATTTTGCAATATTCGGGACCTGATGGAATCCAAACCGGGAGATTATCTACTGAAGATATATTGCTTTCGTTTTCTTAAGATACATTATGTAAGATTTTGATAAACAGCTAGCCATTCTTGCTATAATAGTTCGAAAATAGATAATGTAAAATGAATAATTTGAAAATTTCATTCAAATTACTCTATTGCGAGCAAAGATATTACACTTTGAAAGTTTGACAAGACATGTGCAGTAATTTCCTCCAAGTACTGGTTGTTTGAAGCTAAATCTCGCTCCTCCATTTTTAGCTTAAATCAAAATATTGCTGAACTGTTCTAATCTATTTAATATCGGAGAAATCTGATGCCATCAAGAGTTGATCATGGCCTGGACAAGTTAATTACTCTATTGCGAGCAAAGATATTACACTTTGAAAGTTTGACAAGACATGTGCAGTAATTTCCTCCAACGTACTGGTTGTTTGAAGCTAAATCTCGCTCCTCCATTTTTAGCTTAAATCAAAATATTGCTGAACTGTTCTAATCTATTTAATATCGGAGAAATCTGATGCCATCAAGAGTTGATCATGGCCTGGACAAGTTAATTAATGTCTAATTGAAAATTTAGAAAACATTTCAGGCCTAAAGAAAGACCGGCAATAGACAGATTTAGCCCTTGCATAATGTATGTTTAATGAAATGTTAATTAATCAATTTGAGTACATCTTGGCATAGATTGAGCTGTGAAAAATAAGATATTGTCTTAAAAATGAAAATGACTATCAGCAGCTTTAATGTATTCTGAATTAAAATTAAAGTAGAATGTTTGCTTATTGAGTTTACTGTATAAAACAGATTCAGTTTCATGTTCATAAACTTTTCATGTTCATAAACCATCAGACCTTCATTGTTGAGGCTAAACTATCATTCAATTATTCATCCTAAATCTTAGTCCTTAGTAATATAAAGTACAGTAACAAAACTTGTTTGTATTATGTAAAAAAAACATAATAAGTATGTTTGTTGAGTTTATTGCATAAAACTGATTAAATATAAGCTGCTTATATCTTATTGGACCTTCAATGTTGAGAATAAAATAGTGATTAAATCATTCGTCATAAATCTTAGTCCTTTATTTGTATGTGTTGATTAATGAAATAAATTTATTATTTACTTGAATATATTATATAACAAAATATAATGAGTAGCATTTATACTGACAGTATATAATTTATTAAAAGAAAATCAAATGTATAATGTTGCCATAATTATTTTTATATTATTTGTTAATAATTTGTTTGGTTGTTGGTTAAGATATTATTCTTGTTATAGAATAAACATAAATGTACACATTGTTGAATTAGAATGAATATACAATTATTATAAAGTAGATAAATTGTTAATTAATTAAATATATAATTGTTAAATTAAAGTAGATGAATATTTGTTGAATGAAAGGAAATGTATAATTATTAAAGGAAATATACAATTGTTCGGGTAAAGGAAATGTACATTTGCCTATTTATGTACATTTGTTCTTTTAAAGTAAATGATGAACAATTGTTCATTTATGTATATTTGTTCTGTTACAGTGGGTGATGTACAGATATTGTTCAGTTAAGTAAATGTACAACTGTCCAGTTAAAGTAAATGTAAATGATCCAGTTAAAGTAAATGTACAATTTTCTGATTTATGTATGTTTACTCTGTTAAAGTAAGTAATGTTTTTTTGTTCAGTAAAGTAAATGTACAATTGCTCATTTATGTAGTGTGTTCTGTTGATGTGAATGTACAGATCTTTTGTATAAGTTATTGTATATAATTGTTAAATTAATTTTTATATTTTTGTACATAGTTTTTATTAACTTTGTCAAAACCAAGCATTATTATCTTATTGTGATTATTGTGTGTTTAACGTCTTCAAAGTATTCTGTTTTAGTTAATTAATTTATTTGAACGAAGATTTAAATTTAATCATGTAATATGCAGGTGTTATGCATCCTTAAGCTTCTTGAAGGCTCAATACCACTTCCCATGTCTAATAATTTCAATTAAGCTTTTTTAAATAGCATTATGTTTAATCTCAGAATTTTCCATACTGTGGTTAAAACTAGTAGGGCTCTTGGCAGGACATGCTTATCATGTTTATTGTACATTTTTATATAGACATTATAAAGTCAGTTTTCAATTTATACCATAGATATTTGCTACTGATTTAAATGTCCTTTGTTTTAGTTTCATGATTCATTTTAGGTTGTAAAGATATGTGTATATATGATGTCAGTTTTACAAATGATCTTCAATACAGTGATTTTTGTAAAAATTGATATTAAATTATTTTAAAGTAATTGTATTGATTAAGCTCTAAGTTTGACATTATACAACTCAAATATTATTTTATTACATAATTATATTTTTATTGTTTTGATCTAAAGGCTTAATTCAAAATATAATAAGAATCCAATTGAATTGACTCCTTGTGCCTTTAATTCAAAATGTATAATAAATATTTTATTTGATAGTTATGCAATATTGATATAACTAGATTGTATATTTGATTATAGAGATAGAAAATGTTTACAATAAACAGATTGAAATCTCATGTTCTTGGTTAAAGTAGCTAAGTCTCTAAGGCAGTGTCATCCAATGTCTGCGACATTGAAAACACAAATTATTTATCAATTTAAATCAAGATTGATGTTGCGATCTTACTGGGAAAAGATGGGCTTCTGATATCCAATATTTAAGACAAAATAAACATTTTACCAATGGTACACGAATCGTGTACCATAATGCGTTTCAGCGCCATTTTAACAAGGGACTTGAAGAACGAGGCTAGATATATTCCACAAGCCATGTCAAACGATGACCCGATTCTTATCTGGGGTACATGCGCAATAAATACTATGTTGTAGACTGGAATAACCAGATGCTAGAGATTGCCATTCGATTGAGACTTCTGGCGTATTTCGCGGAACATAACTGATTTGAAATTAGATTAAAAACAGAAACGACTGAATGTAAATCAGTTTATATACATTCATATTGTGTCAATTTCTAGGTCCCAAATAGTAGCGATTTAGCTCCTTTAACCTTTAGAATCCGCTGAATCTTGTTTATGTAAAAGAAATACTTGTTAGGGTATCTCATACATTAGAAACAAACACCAAGTAATTTTCATTCAATATTTTCTACTTTCTACACAAAGTCGTTAGAGAGAGCAGATAGAAAGAAAGCAGTGATGGCTTGGTATATCGTGGAAACTTTCATATGTTTTAGGATAGCAGATAAAAATTCAGATGATGACGAACATCGAAAATCATATTTAAAAAAAAAACGCTGGGAGTTCAACTTTAACCAAAAATAATCTGAAAGTTGAAAATAAGGAAAAATGCATCCACCCTCCCACCACGCCATCAAAAAAAAAAAAAAATCAACTGCATTTCATGTTTTATTTAATGACCAATTGCATGGTTGATGAAGACTTAGTGTTTATGTCATATATATCTGTTTGAAAGTTGAAACCTTGTCAATAGAGAGACTATATCTACTTACTTATAATACTTTGATCTTTGATATGTAGAGGTTTGTTTTCCGTTATTATACTTATTAATTAGATTTATTTACAAAAAATAGGCTATAAGTAGACATTGTGATATATTGCACATGTATTATGTTTTCTAGGTCCTAGACGAGTACTAGAAAATAGTCAAATCACGTGTCCGCAGTGGTGTATAGTGCTGGGAGAACGGCCTTACATTGCAATTCTCTAATGAAGTGAATTTTTTATTTCCGGTGCTAAAAGAATTTTGAGAACGAATTATTATTTGTTTTAATTATTTTTGTTTCAACTTGAGATCCCCTACTTCATAAAGTTCGAGGTATGTTATGCGTATGGCTTCCTGAACCCCTTTCTGTTATACGATGCTTAAAATTGCTGCCCGGCAAAATATACAAACTAATACCACAGCATTACCGTCGTTTTATGAATAAAAAAATATTCTTCGTGCCCCCTGATTGATAATTTTTACAGTTCTGCGAAGATTGTTTCAGCGAAGGAAACTTTTCACTTCGAGATTTTGATGTTGAAAGTAAGAGTCCCCTCCCCCCCATATGTTAGTTATTGCAACTATTTAAAAATAATAGTAGAAGCATAGCACTACATGGCGGCGGTGTCGAGGATGCTTCCGACACTCTCCCCAAACTCCTCCAATCTCCGTCTGTGTACATTTTTAATCAAAAGTAGCATATTTTAGAGCAATAATCGGGCAAAAATTTCACAAACCATCCTGTAAGGAGATATAAGGCTATAATTTATACTGGCCAGAACCCATCTGTCTTTCCTTCCGCCCTTTCCGGTCATTTAAACTTCCTTCCTTACAAAATGGACACCACCATTTAGACATCAATTATTATAATAATAACTTAATACTACAAAACTAAAACTTAGCAATTATATGGCAGAAACGAAATACAGTTTGGCGACATATTCACGTTACATGTACTTATTAAAGCGCTGATCGTTATTTGAAAGTCGAATCTCTTAAAAGTATATCAGCTCAAAAATGGTTCAGGGTTTTCAAAGAGCAGAAAATGTCTACATCATCTGCATTGTTTTCTTAATTAAATGTTAAAAAATGTATTTGAAAATTGTTATCGGGAAAATGTAAATGACGACCAACGGCTGAACGGCCAATTAGATGTATTCGTTTTAAATTTAATTTCTGCTAATTTTATCGTTGAATAAAAAAACCCAAAACACATTGTATGTGCGATGCATGAGTCGCGGGTTGACTCGGTACCAGATTTGTGTTGTTTTCTTGTGCACGTTCAGTGAGAAACCAGCTTGAAAAATCCAATGGTTCTTCTCAGTCAACGCCGGGATTCGAACATGGGGAATTCTATTCTATTTTACTTGCAAAAACGTTACGGTGATGTTCTCTTTTGTAACTGAAAAGAATAAGAGACCGAACCAAATTGGGTACCGTGTCATACCA